CAGCCCTGACGGCGGGGTGATCACCAAGTCGAAGAACAAAAAGACCATCTTGGGCGGCGTCGGATTGGGCGGTATCACCGAGGTGAAGGTACACCGCGGTACTGATGATGATGATTACGATGATGAATACGAAGATGAGGAAGACGAGCGAGCAGACGACAGATTGAACTCGGCCGGACGCAACAACACCAAACCGAACAAGAAGAACCAAGGCGGTACCCGTACGAGTACCAACACCAGATTAGGAGGTACGATGGTACCTATCGCTCACTTTGAACTCTCGTTCCTATTAAAATCGGAGCGAGTCATCAGAGTGAGCGATAGGTACCACCCACTGGTACTAGCCGAGTTTCGTTGGTACCATGGTACCATTACGTTATTGTTATTTCGTTAGAAAACTGTCCGGTTTACACGGGTGACGAGTACACCAGGGTGAGCTGCTATCACAACAACCGGATCATAGATTGCGAAAAAGCCAGAAGCAGATCGAGCTTCAATTACACCTGCTCGCCCTTCTGCGAACCCGTCAATCGTACCCACGAAACGGGATATTGCTTCGACGGCGAATGGACAGTACCGGAACCCAAATGCGTACCAAGTAGGTCTTAATCCACACCATTACCTCATCCGATAACTTTAGAACGGTACCATTTTTCCTACCAATTTCCTCACCGTATACAGTACAGTCCTACAGCGATAGAAGGTAGTACCGATCAGTACCATCGATGTTTCAGTTTGCGGTAAGAAGCGTACCAACGCCCAAGTGCTGGTAGTCAACGGCAAAACGGCGGTACTGAACGACTACCCGTGGGCGGCGGCCGTTTTCAAAGTGAACCAAGGCGAGGAGAAGAACGTCTGCGGCGGTACCATGCTCACCAGGCGAGTGGTACTGACGGCCGCCCATTGCGTCACCGATCTCTATGGTAAAAAGTTCGACAACGATCGCATCAAAGTCGGCTTGGGCAAGCACTACAACGAGTACCAGGATCCCAGGGACCTGACGGCGCAATATTCCACAGTGAGTACCAAACTTTGACAGCAATTTGACAGCTTAATACGCAAGTTTCGTAGTTTGATAGTTGGTTAATTGGTCTGTTTGAGAGTTTGACAAGTGACAAGTTTGACGAGTGACAAGTTTGACAATTGAAGTTTTGTTTCAGGTGGATCAAATTTTGACACACAAGTACTACAGAGGTATAAATCAGCATTACGGCAACGACATAGCCATGTTGGTGACAACTAAAAGGCTAGATTTATCGATAACGGTACAACCAATTTGCTTCAAGAATTTACCGAGTTTCGATTTGGTTAACGACATGAGAGGAATCGTAAGTACTACCAGCTTTATTGACGAATACGTTTCAATTATCAAGTCACCGGAGGCGTCGCGAGTACCGCCATCGTCCGCCATTTTGTTACCAACATTAATTTTCGTATAAATAAAGTCACTAGACTGAATTCTAGATTGTGGTACTCGGTACGAATCCGATAAAACAGCGCTGAATTACGCGATCGATGGGTACCACGTCCGGTCGATGCGGTGGATGTTATATCGTAATTTCCAGGTGACCGGCTGGGGATACAGTACCGCTTCGGGACCGCCGGCCGGAGAGCTCCAGCAGTTGGTGGTACCGTACAAAGTGGACGACGATTGCAAGCTCGAGTACGACAGCGACTGGTTGGACAAACATCTAACCGATGATAAATTCTGCGCCGGGTTTCACAACAAAAGTAAGAGTACCGAAACGACCGCCATTTTGTGTGCAAGATGGCCGGTAGGTCGTCCGTCATTTTGAATGGACGATCGTCCGCCATTTTGTAGGCGGCCGCCATCTTGTATTCAAGATGGCCGGACGATCGCCTGCCATTTTGTTGACGACCGCCATTTTGTATGCAAGATGGCCGGACTGTCGCCCGCCATTTTGTGGACTGGAAAATTTTCTCGTATTGAGCGCTGTTTTGTCGATAGAAATTCGCGGGAAATTCGCGGAAAATTTGGAACGATCGTTGTGAATTTGTTTTTTTAGGTGACAGGTTGGGGTTATACGGAACAATCGGGAGCGCCATCTGTCGAGCTCAAAGAGCTTTTCGTGCCGTACAAAGACAACAGGGCCTGTCAGGCGGATTTCTCGTTGGATTGGCTCGACGATTTTCTCACCGGAGATAAATTTTGCGCCGGTTTCACTTACAAAAGTAAGATTCGATATGGCGATCGATCCAATACGAGAAAATTTTCAAAAAATGTCAAATGCCAAATGTCAAACTTGTCACTTGTCAAACATGTCAAACTGTGAAACTGTCGAACAAAGTTGTCACGTGTCAAACTGTTCAATTGGCATACTCTCAAATTGCTCAACTGGCCAACTGTTGAATTGCCAAATTGCCTATTCATTTGTCAACCTGCCAAATTGCTAAACCAAATTGTCCTAAACTGTTCAAATAACAAACTGTCAAACTACCAAACGGTCTAACTGGTTAATTACCAAACTGTCAAATTGCTAAACTGCCATACTGACCAACTGTTCAATTGTCAAAATATTTAATTGTCGACCTGGTAAACTGCCAAATTGGGAAACTGTCCAACGGGTAAATTGTCAAAAATCTCAAATGTTAAACTTGTCACTTGTCAAACTGTGAAACTGTCGAACAAAATTGTCACGTGTCAAACTGTTCAATTGTGTAAAAAATATTCATATTGGTGAACCTGCCAAATTTCTAAACCAAATTGTCCAAATTGTCCTAAACTGTTCGATTATTCAATTTTCAAAAATGCCTAATGTCAAACATGTGAAACTGTCGAACAAATTTGTCACGTGTTAAACTGTTTCATTGGCATACTGTCAAATTACCAAACTGTCAAATTGCCCAACTTGCCAACTATTGAATTGTCATATTATCGTATTGGTAAACCTGCCAAATTTCTAAACCAAATTGTCCAATTTGTCCTAAACTGTTCAATTAACAAACTGTCAAACTGCTAAAGTGCCAAACTGATCAATTGTTCAGTTATCAAATTATTCAATTGTCAACCTGTTAAACTGCAAAATTGTGAAACTGTTCAATTGTCAAAAATGTCTGAAATGTCAAAATAGTAAAAAATGCCAAAAATGTCAAAAATGTCAAAATAGTCAAAAATTTCAAAAATTTCAAAAATTTCAAAAATATCAAAAATTTCAAAAATTTCAAAAATGTCAAAAATGTCAAAAATATCAAAATTGCTAAAAATGTCAAAAATGTCAAAACCCTCATTAGACATCATTTGAATTGTCAAAAAAATTAACAAACTAAGAATGCTGCGTTGCCAAATTTGCGAGAACGCAGCAATTACCCGGATATTTCGCGACATTTATATAAACGTTTCGGTACTGAATTTCCATTTAAAAATTTTCCAGGTACTTCGGTGTGTAAGGGCGACAGCGGCGGCGGTTTGGTGTTCCCGTACAACAATCGTTTCTACGTGCAGGGCATCGTCAGTTTGGGCAACAATCCGAGCGAAGGGGAATGTCAAATACAAAAGAGCTCATTGTACACGAGAGTCGCCTCCCATTACGATTGGATCGTCGAAGTTACTACACAATTTAATTGATAATTGAACTCCATCGATCGGTGCCATTTTTCTTTTATAAATAAATAAATAAATAAATAAATAAATAGTAAATTATTTTAGTCGATTATCTATTCGAATAAGACTAGGAGAAATACCTGAAAACTATACAGCGTGTCTACTTAAGTTGGCAACATATGGGAAACTTTTTTATTATTAATTTTAGGAAAAAAAGTTATTCTTTATAAAAAGTTCTGCATGATCTGAAACCGTAGAAACGATCATCAAATATCAAATTTTTTTATTCGTATACGAGGTTTGTCGAAAAATCTGATTGTAAACATATAAATGTTTCATTCCGTCCAGAATGTAATAAGCAAATTTTTACAAGACAAAATTTATTACACATCTAATGAATACACAATTAAAATAAAAATAATTTCAAGAACAATGTTTATTACACATCGACTGTTCAATAAAAATAAGAGATTACTGTTTATTATTAATTATTGATAATAGTTAAAAGATAATTCAAAAAAACATGTATCACTTAATATGCAAACTTAGACATTACTTAAGTTTCTAAAGATTAAAAAATAAGTTGAGGTAGATGGATCTGATTACATTGTACATGATTACATTGAGTATTTGTCAGAAGCTTCAAAATGATGTGTCACAAGACCCCTTTTTCCATTTAAATTTATTTCCCAAGATGGCGCCCAAATTTTAATTTTCTAAGTTGATCCGTTCAAAAAATAAAAGGGGGGTGGGAACATTAAAGAATAAGCATTAAAGAAATGCCCTGTATACATAATAAGCTTCTTAGCTAGCTTAGCTCTTAGCTTCTCAGTTAAATTAATTTTTGTCTCTATGCATGATGGGACCTATCAAATTTCAACAAAATATCAAAATGAAATTGGGAAAAAATGGTTTTGGTTTTTATTTTTTTACGCAAAAATGGTGCGTCATACGAAAATAAGTCATCTGACCGAATTTGCTACAAAATAAATGAGGATTTTAAAAATAATTTTAGTTTTTAGAAAAACCAGTGGTGTACCATTTTTTATTTCAAACATACTCAGTTCAAACCCCGTACGGACGTCACTGGTGAATATTAAAAAAAATCTTATGCCTCAAAAAATGCTCCTTAATAATTACAAAGTGTATACAAAATTTCTAAAAAATATCTGTAGTAATAAGAAAATTATGATAGAAAAGTTATTTCCTTTCTAAAATTCTAACACCCCGTAGCTCGAAAACTAAGAGATTTAGGACACACATCGATATAAACTTTTCTTCTTAAAATCATCCAAACATTCACATCCTAAAATATCGGCATACAATTAATTAACACCCTGTATAATAAACATTGTAATAGGAGATCGTATATTCGTCGCAAATCGGGTTTTACGTCGAGATAATGTAAATAATTAATACATGGAATTTCTGTTTATGTTGACGGTTATCTTTGAACAGGTCAAATCGAGTGGTCGAACGAGTCGAATCCTCTTCGACTTTTCGAGCGATTAGTAGATACAAATTACCGTTTCGACTGGTTATAATTACTGTTGAAAATAACGTAGAATAACCGCTAATAATCGTTTGTAATATATTCGTCGTATTACCATCGGGATTAATTTCGTAAAATGCGAATAGCAGCATCGAGTGGGCCTTGAGGATTTTTTTTTAATTGATTATAACGATGGGTTTTTACTTTTACAATGGTGGTTTTGTGAATGTGTGCGCGTGTTTGTTCGTTTTTATAAGTTAGTTTTCGTTTATCGGTGTTGAGGTTTGGGTTTTTTTTCTTTTTTTTTTGAAAAATGTTTTTTTAGATGTGATTTGGCACGTGGAAGGATTTTCGTTCGGGTCTCACAACGGATCGTTGAGTAGATTAAAAAGGGCCGCTAGGACTTGTAATCGAGGACGAGGGTATGTATGTAAATAACTGTACAGGTTGGCTCAAGAAAATGTTGGGTTTCGATGAGTTTTGTCGGATTTGAAAAGTATATAGGGCGTTCTATAATGACATGGTAATATTTAAAGGGGGTGATTCTTGGACTACTTTGAAGATAAAAACTTTTTGTGAGCATAAAATTTGTTATTATTTTTTTTAATTTTAGCACAGTGCATTTTAGCACATTAATTTTTTTTAAATCCGAAACGGTGAGTCGTACGGAAAAAAGTCGAGGAATCAAATTTGTTCTAAATTGAATGAGGATTCCGAAAATAATTTTTATTTCTATATTAGGCAGTGGCGTATCATTTTTTTCTTCAAAAATATTCAATGCAATACCCATACGGACGCCACTGCTGAAAATAATAAAATTATTTGTACATCAGAAAATGCATCTTGATTCATAGAAGAGGTGTACCAAATTTCACAAAGATATCTACAATAGTATCGCAGTTATTAGGAAAAAATTGATTTTTTTCTTAAAACTTTAACACCCTGTATCTCAAAAGGTAAGACGTTTAGGACATAGGTTCATATAAAGGTTTTTCCTTAAAATGGGTCTAGGAATCACCTTCTTAAATATTAGTATGTCATTTTGGAACACCCTGTATATCATGTTACTATACAGGGTGTTTCTGAAATAAATGGTCAAACTTTGTGGGACAGTTTGGAGAAACTCATAATATGATAAAAACTTAAACGTCGTTTTATCAAAATGTCAAGTTTTTTGAAAGAATTCATTCCTACTAGATTTAAGATGACAAAATAGTTTAATAATAATTATGTGTATCAGAATTTTAAAAGTTATTTTTCATGAAAACGGTTCACTTTACGGAAAATCAACAAGTATACCTCTTTTATGTAAAAAACTTCATTTTTTCATTTTCTTTAAACAAATCAATTGAAAAGATTAAAATAAAAAAGTTAGGTTAGAATTACCCCACCAACCCCCCATTTTAACCCACCCCTGGACAACTTTTTTAACCCGTTTGAATAGCACCGCAAGACATTTGATTTGCTCAGTATATGTACCAAATTTCATCATTTTACCTTTGCTAATAACGAAATTATTAATAAAAATCCCTCTTCAAGAATCCATCTTTAACACCCTGTATACACATAACCAATGACATTTCGATAAAATGACATTTAAGTTTTTGTCATATTTTGATGTTCTCTACTTGCTCCCAAAAGTTTGACCACTTATTTCAGAAACGCCCTGTTTAATATTTTGCTGGGTTTTACGATTTTAATTTTGGACATCCTGTATAAACAGATTTTTTTTTAACTTTTTTTCGTAAATAAGTTCGTTTCGCTCAATAAGTTTATTATTTAATTCTGTTTATAATGATGGTTGAAACATCGTAAATAATTTGACCTTTGCGTTGATAAAAATTCGAAATAGATCAAGTTAAACAAATCATTTTTTTAATTACTGGTTTAAGTATAAGTAATTGGAAATTCCGTAAAATTTACAATAAGAATTCTTCGAACAGATATTCAAACTTTAACTAGAAAATTTCGTCTAATTATTCGAATATATTTGATTAAAAATTGGATTACAGATTACTCTATTACACTTGTAGTACACCTCCATTTTGCTTCCCTATTACAGATCTATTACACTTCTATGGCATCAGCTTTAGTACACTTCTATGTATTACAGCTCAATTATACCTATAATATTGCAGCTTTATTAGATACACTTTTATTGCAGCTCTATTACACTTCCATTACAGTCCTAGTACACTTCTAGTACACCTCCATTATGCTTCCATTACAACTCTATTACACTTCTAGTACACCTCCATTTTGCTTCCCTATTACAGATCTATTACACTTCTATGGCATCAGCTTTAGTACACTTCTATGTATTACAGCTCAATTATACCTATAATATTGCAGCTTTATTAGATACACTTTTATTGCAGCTCTATTACACTTCCATTACAGTCCTAGTACACTTCTAGTACACCTCCATTATGCTTCCCTATTACAGCTCTATTACACTTCTAGTACACCTCCATTATGCTTCCCTATTACAGCTCTATTACACTTCTATTGCATCTCAGATTTAGTACACTTATATGTATTACAGGCATTACAGCTCAATTAGGCTGCCATTACAGCTCTATTATGTCTCTATTGCAGCTTCCAATGCCTCAATTCGCAGAAATGCATCCCTTTGGAGAGGCGTTGCGACGGCAGAGAAGATTGTTCGGACGGCAGCGACGAATTCAACGATTGCAAAACCGATATAAAGTACGATTTTTTTTTTATTTTTTTTTTATTTGTTCGTTTGTAAGAAGTCCTTTGTTGTAAGGACCTTTTTGAGGACCTTCTAAAGACCTTCCTCATTGTGGACTTTTTAATAACCTTTTGAGGTCTCTTTGAGAACCTTTTGAGGACCTTTAGAGGACTTTATCGGGACCTTCTAAGAACCTTTTGAGGTCCTTTAGAGGACTTTATCAGGACCTTTAGAGAACTTTATCAGGACCTTCTAAGAACCTTTTGAAGACCTTTTAGGGACATTTTTGAGGAACTTTTGAGATCATTCTGAGGACCTTCCACGTACCTTTTGAGGGTCTTTTAAGCACCTTTTGAAGACCATTTAAGAATATTTTGAGGATCTTTTAAGAACCGTTTAAGGACCTTTTGAGAACCTTTTAAGTACTTTTAGAGGACCTTTAGAGAACCTTTTAAGAACCTTTTGAAGACCTTTTAAGGACATTTTTAAGAAACTTTTGAGATCATTTTGAGAACCTTTTGAGAATCTTTTACGGTCCTCTTGAGAACCTTTTAAGGTCTTCTTGAGGAACTTTTTAGGACATTTTGAAGACCTTTTGAGTACCTTTTGAGGTCCTTTAAAGAACATATAGAGGACCTTTGATTAATCTTTTGAGGACCATTTAAGACTCTTTTAAGAATCGTTTAAGGACCTTTTTGAGGACCTTTTACGATCCATTTGAGAACCTTTTAAGCACTTTTTAAGGACCTTTTTGAGGACCTTTTACGATCCATTTGAGAACCTTTTAAGGACTTTTTAAGGACTTTTTAAGGACTTTTTAAGGACCTTCCTTTTGAGAACATTTTAATGATTTTTTGAGGACCTTTTGAGAACATTTTGAGCACCTTTTAGGAACCTTTTGATGACCTTCTAAGAACCTTTGAAGACCTTTTATTGACCTTTTTGAGGATCTTTTAAGGACCTTTTTGCATTTTTGATCTTATTCTCAGGTGCCCCGGTTACCTGTTCACCTGCGACTACGGCGGTTGCATCGACAAGGACGCCTACTGCGACGGCAAAAAGGACTGCAGGGACAATTCGGACGAGATCAATTGCCTCAAATCCTCCGATACCGAATCAACCAATTGCAAGTAAGCCTCTCGATTTAGTAAAGAGTCAATTGGTAAAGAGTCATTTGGGTAAAGAGTCTATTTTCAATTGGTTACAGAATTCATTATGTAAAGAGTCAATTAGTGAGAGATTAGATAAGTCAATAGATAATAGAGTCATTTGGGCAAAGAATCGATAGACTGACAGTCGATTAGATAGAGAGCGGTTCAATTTGAATATCCGCCATTTTGGATATGACGTCATTATGCAACTATTGCACTATTATTGCACTAAATGCAATTTTTCCGTGACGTAGATCGAACGAATTCGAGTGCAACTCCGGCCAGTGCATCTCGCTGGAGGCGAAATGCGACGGCAACGTCGATTGCAGGGACAGATCGGACGAAATCAAGGCCACCTGCCTGAACATGAACTGTCCGGGATTCACGTTCGTGTGCGCGTACGGCGCATGCGTCAACGGATTCAACCGATGCGACGGCGTCAAGGATTGCTGGGATAATTCCGACGAGATCAATTGTTCCAATCGAGGTACCGGCAAACCCGTGCAGAAACCGCCACCGCCGGTCGACGTCGACCCATCGAATGACAGGTGCGTTACGACAAAATGGCGGCGATTGGGCTGACAAAATGGCCGGGTTGTTTTTTTTTTTTTTGACAGGTATTGCACGTTGCCGGAGCAACCGGAAAACGGTAGATGGAAGATCAGCGGCGGCGCCGAAGCTGCCGCCGGTACGCGCGTGGGCACCAGTACCATTTTGACGTACCGATGCGACGACCAATACAAATTATCGACGGAAACCAAGGCGGTAGTTTGTCTGGATGACGGATGGTCGCCCACACCGCCTACTTGTTTAAGTGAGATTTATTTGTTTTTGTTATAAGTAATATTATCTGTTTCATCTGATGCATCATTTATTGTGGTGCTTTACTCCATATGTTCCATTTTTTGTTTTAACAATTACTTTGTTCTCTGCTCTACCATACACTCTAACTTCTGCTCCATCTTTCATTCTACCTTCAATTTCATTATTTGTCACATCTTCTGCTCCATCTTTTATTCCACCTTCATTGTCATTATTTCTCACATCTTCTGCATTATCTTTTAATCCACCTTCATTTTCATCATCTCTCTCATCTTCTGCACCATCTTTTAATCCACCTTCAATTTCATCATCTCTCATCTTCTGCTCCATCTTTTATTCTACCTTCAATTTCATTATTTCTCACATCTTCTGTTCCATCTTTTATTCCACCTTTATTTTCATCATCTCTCTAATCTTCTGCACCTTTTTTTAATCCACATTCAATTTCATCATCTCTCTCATCTTCTGCTCCATCTTTTATTCTACCTTCAATTTCATTATTTCTCACATCTTCTGTTCCATCTTTTATTCCACCTTTATTTTCATTATTTCTTACATCTTAATCTCCATCTTTTATTCCTCCTTCAACTTCCAACACCATCTCTCACACCTTCTTCTCCACATTCTACCCCATTTTCCATTACACCTTCAACTCAATCTTTTCCCACCCTCTGCTGAATCTTCTCCTCCACTTTCTGCTCCATCTTCTACCTCATTTTTTATTCCACCTTCAATTTCATTATTTCTCAGATCTTTTGCTCCATCTTTTATACCACTTTTAATTTCAACATTTCTCACATCTTCTGCTCCATCGTTTATTCCACCTTCAATTTCATTATTTCTCACATCTTCTGCTCCATCTTTCATTTCACCTTCAACTCCACCATCTCTCACACCTTCTACTCCACATTCTACCCCATTTTCCATTACACCTTCAACTCTAATCCATCTTCTCCCACACTCTGCTGAATCTTCTCCTCCACTTTCTGCTCCACGTTCTACCCCATTTTCCATTACACCTTCAACTCTAATCCATCTTCTCCCACACTCTGCTGAATCTTCTCCTTCACCTTCTGCTCCACCTTCTACCTCATCTTTCATTCTACTTTCAATTTCATCATCTCTCACACCTTCTGCTCCACCATCTACGCCACCTTCTGCTCCATCTTCTACCCCACCATTTACTCTCTCCCCGCTCCACCATCATCCCACATCCCTCCAGCGGATTCTCCACCAACTCTAACCACCTCTCGTCTGGTTCGCAGAGCTCTGTCCCAGCCTCTACACCACGGAGACGACGACGGTGCGCTGCTTCGACCAACACAACGTCGAGATCAAGTGCGACTCGGCCTCGCACAATTCCTCGGCGACGTTCAAGTGCGCCCCCTACCACGAGCCCGTCTATCCCACGCGCATCATCTTCTGCGCCGAGGGCAGCTGGAGCCACCAGGCGCCCGAGTGCGTGCCAGGTCAGCCAATCGTTTTCGTCATTAACATCAACGTGATCGGTCAGAGCGCAAGCGCGAACTCGAACGATGACGGTGCTCTTTCGAACGATTCGGCTCTAACTGTTGACGACAGGAGGATCGTCTATCCCGATGTGTTCGAATTGTTGAGGCGGTCGAAATCGGTCGATATTAGATGATTGATGATTTTTGTTTTGTATTTGTTGTTAATAAACTTGTAGAGGAAGGTAAAGTCTGGTTTTTTTTCTGCTCGAAATCCTTGCCTGTCGGAGCGAATTGCCAACTGTCATTTTCGACGCTTTTGACGTTTAATTCGGTAATACCAACTTAAATCTAAACGAACAAAAACAGACTTTACCAACTCTAACCGTTTTGAACCGTTTCGAAAGCGCTGTTGCCGGATATTTACAATACGTAAACGTTAAAAGAATTGGCAACGGCGCAGTAGAAGTTGCGCAAATGCATCATTCCGAAATATTTTTCTGTTCTGGTAAATCGCAGTGTGCGGCGAGAAGATCGTTTCGGCCGAGCCGTTCATCATCAACGGCGTGACAGTGGAAAAAGGCAGCTACCCCTGGATGACGGCCATTTTTCTCAAAAAGAACGGCGAATACATCAACTCGTGCGGCGGTTCCATGCTGACGCAACGCTTCATACTCACAGGTAAATCCTCCCACTGGTCGATCAACTTCTGCTCCACCATCTACTCCATCTTACAGTCCACCTTCAACTTCATCATCTCTCACATCTTCTGCTCCACCATCTACTCCACCTTCTGCTTTATCTTACGTTGGAGCCTTCAATTTCATCATCTCTCACATCTTCTGCTCTACCATTTACTCCACCTTCTGCTCCATCTTACATTCCACCTCCAATTTCACCTTCTGCTTTACCTTTTGCTCCACCTTCTGCTCCACATTCTATCCCATTTATCATTCCACCTTCACTTTCATCATCTCTCACAGCTTCTGCTCCATCTACGCCACCTTCTCCTTCATCTTACATTCCACCATCAATTTCATTATCTCTCACATTTTTTGCTCTACCATTTACTCCACCTTCTGCTCCATCTTACATTCCACCTTCAATTTCACCTTCTGCTTTACCTTTTGCTCCACCGTCTGCTCCACATTCTACCCCATTTTTCATTACACCTTCAACTCTATCTTCTCCCACACTCTGCTCCATCTTCTCCTCCACCTTCTGCTCCACCTTTTGCCCCATTTTTCATTCCACCTTCACTTTCCACGCTCCATCCTACATTCCACCTTCAATTTCATTATCTCTCACTCCTTCTGCTCCACCTTGTTCTTCACATTCTACCCCATCTTCCATTCCACCTTCATCTCCAACTCTCACACTCTGCTCCATCTTCTCATCCACCTTCTATCCCATCATTGATATTTGTATTTAATGTTGTGCGAATAAACTTGTACGAAGAAAGGTAAAGTCTGTTTACGAAAGTCCCGGTGGATTCCCCGGAGTTTGACGACGCTTGTCGCTTGTCGCTTGTCACTTGTCACTTCGTATAGCCAGTGTTGCCAATTCTTCGATGTTTCAGCCGCTCATTGCGTCACCGACACGTCCGGACAGGTCATCGACAAGGCGACCGTTCAAATAGCCGTGGGGAAGTACTACAACTCCTATAGAGACCCCAGGGACAATCAATCCCAATATTCCAACGTAAGTTGACAAGTCGTATACGTCAAAGGATATGTGACCTGTTTATACATGTTTAACAGATCAAATCTATATTCGTTCATGAACATTACCAAGGATCCGTTCAAAATTACGTCGCCGACATCGCTCTTCTGCAGACCACCGATAAGTTGCTGTTGTCCAAAGTTGTCCAGCCAGTGTGCTACCTGAATTTGGCAACGCAGCATCTCGATTCGTCGATGACAGGAGTGGTGAGTACATTGACGTTTGACGTGTTTGACGTTTGACGTTTGACGTGATTGACGTTTGACAGGTAGTGGGCTGGGGGTACACGCAGAGCGGCGGACAGCCGTCGGACGATCTGAAAGAGCTGACGGTTCCTTACAAGGACAAGGCCACCTGTTTCAAGGAACTGCCGCCGGAATGGGCGAGGAGGTACTACACCTACGACAAAATGTGCACCGGTTACATGAACCAAGGTACTGTATATGAAACGTATATAAAACTGTAATGGTCATTGACTCACTGATTGGAAATTTTTTTTGACGGCCGACAATCGTCGATTTCGACCGGGAAAAGTACCGAATCCCATGGAAACGCACAAGCCCGATCGGAATATCGACGTTTCGACTCGATGAAATTTCATCTTCAGTGTCAAATGGGCGAAATTAACTTTTTTTTCGGTTTTTCGCACTTTTCTCGAATCGAGTTCGATCAATTCGCTTCAAAATCTCCCAAAAGATTCTCGATCGGTTCTCTCAACTTTCGTATATAGCCGTTTTCAAGGAAAAATTCGTTTTGGGAAACTATCGGGGAGAATAGTTTTCGAGGGTTTTCTAGAAATCGAAATAACTCGTAAACGGTAAGATTTACGAACATTTTTCATACTTGCAAAAAAATTGAAAATTCTTTATTCCATCAAATAAAAGAGACCGGGTGTTTTTCCGATCTGTACTTTTTGAGTTTTTTCGAAAAAACCGTTCTTAAATTGTCTTCAAATTTGTAACGCCAAAACTCGGAAACTATCATGTTTTAGAAAATTTTAAAAGCGATAATTTATAGATACGACATTTTTCCATCTACCAAAATTTTTTCCCATTTTTTGAAATATTATTTATCGAATTATAAAGATCTTTCGAAATCGATGCATATTTTAAGACTGCCATCGAACCGGAAGTGAAAACTTTCAGATCGACGATGACGTACGATCATTCCCGAATGAAAGACAAAATGGATGACATTTGAGTTTCTATGGAAACGTTGACATTTAATTTGATGTACAGGGTGATTTTAACTTAAGGAAATCGAAAAAATTGACGTACGGTGCGTTTTTTCTATCTTAAGTGAAAAATTATTTTAAATTAAATTGAAATATAGTACAGGATGACTCGCATTTAAGATGTTAATTACATAGCAAAGCTTCAGCGAGTCTGTCAAATATCCTCTTACCTTGAGACATCTCGAGGTTGTATCGTACATCACAATCTTCGCGACATAACCTCTAATTATGGATTGTTGGTGAAGGTATGGCGGTGTGCAAGGGAGACAGCGGAGGCGGTCTGGTATTCCCCCATCAGGGTAGATATTACGTGCACGGCATCGTCAGCGTGGGGCAATATTTCGAAAATAGCGGATGCAACGTACAGGAGAATTCACTCTACACCAACGTTGCCAAATATGACGAATGGCTGGAACGCACCACCTCGCAATATGTCAAATAAAACTCGCCATTTTATACTGATTTTCATTTTATATTATCGAAATAAACGGAATTTTTAATTGTACGATTAGTATAGCTGTCGTTTTGATTCCTTCGATTCCACGGTACTATATTTCTAATGTCTGGAATCTTCCTATGCTTATGCATTAGAGAATGTGTTTCGTTATTTGAGGACTTTTTGAGCTTCACTTTTGCACCGCAAGGTGGCGAACGATCGAAGGACCAATTTAATCGGACCAAATTAATACAAATAAATCGCGGTTGTGAAACGACAGTTCGAGCTGTCAAAACTTCAAAAATTATTTTTTGACATTTCGAGGAGAAAATGGAGGAAATACATTAACCGAAGATACGTGAGGCATGATGTTAACAACAAAATCATCGCTGATTTAAGTATATTTTTATATATTGTATCTATTTTTAGTTTGAATATAACCTTTCTTAACGCTAATTCTATATATTTTGTACGCAAAAAACCGTGGTGCTTTACAACATCGCCTCCTAGCGGCCATTTTAGGAACCCTGTTTTATCCTCAAATAACGGGATACTTTTTCGATCCACATTTTCAGACCTTAGATATACACTAGATATACTAAATCTCGTTAGTAGGTAGAGCCTTTAAAATAATGCCATATTTTTATTCTTGACAAAAAAAAACATTAAAAAAACAAAAAATGCCAAAGGAAAAAAAAGAAAGAAAATTTAGCACTGCGTGGGATTGAACCAGATTCCTTACCGCTGAATTTTTCAAACATCAGAGCGTAAACCAATCCAGATATCTCCGCCCCTTTTAACAATTATTAGATAGTGACATATGACGTTTGACTTTTTTCAATTTAATTATACATTTTTTCATTAAACCAGAACGAATTTAATAAAATTTAATGTCCATTTCGACTTATTTTTCGACGATCTTTTCAAATCTGTCAATATTTTTTACGAACGTTATTCGGTAAAAAAGTTAGCTTGCTTTTGACACATTTGTACAAGGAATCCCTATGTCGCATCTTATAAATAACACAATTTTTTAACGTTTGTCATCTGTCAACGATATTTTTCTCATCGATGAAACAGTCATCTGATTAATCGGATTTTGAAGAGGATGGATCTGGTTGACAGATGAATTATAACCCATATTTTTCATTCCATGATCGGTTTCGGTTATGATCTGATGTTCCATGTTGGAGTTGTGCATTGAACGTGCATTAAATTTTTTAATTTGTTTCGCTGGTTTTGCAATTTGCAATGGATTCCGAAATCTGCCATTGCATGAGTTTTATTGATTTCTTTGTTTAATAAAAATAGTTCCAATAACTCATCACTGCCACTGTTATTTGAGGACTCTTCATTTTCAGGTTCTGATGATGAATCGGACGAATATAACATATTTTTTGCAATCAAATAAAACTCCATTTTTTATAATTTCCCTCGCATTTAAAAATTCAAATTCAAATTGTCAATGTCAACGTCAAAGTCAAAATTTCCAACCATCCAGCAATTTGTTCCTATATTCATATAAATCAATTAAATTCCAACAGGAATCAATCAGGACGTCGTTTGACATTAATCATAGGTGAAACGAAGATGGAAAAAAGATCATACCTAGTGCATAGGACCGTGTTTACCATCAATTGTTCGATTCGACAAGTGACTATAACGACTTTGACAGCTGACATTGACAGTTAAGACGGAACGAAAAGCGACCGCGCGACATCTCGCAACCAACCCCGACACCCAACATTCCGACGCACTTTCGCCGATCGAAGGCGGCGGGCGGGCGGTCGCGCCGGCGCCCTCCCGCCTCCCTATCGATCGCCGGGGGCGTCGCGTCGCGACGCCAGTCGAACGCCGATCGCGCGCCCCCTCGCACCGCGACTAACATGTCCCAAAGATATTACGTAACCAAGTCGAAGCCAGCATGACCGCCGAAGGGGAGAAAGTGGGCGCCGAGCAGCTGGCGCCGCATTCGGCGCCCGTCCTGAGCGTCGGCTGCAAAATCCTGCGGTCGCCGAGCCACGAGAGCGTCACCACCGATCTGTCGTTGTTGTCGGTGTCGTCGTCGACGACGTCGGACGCGCTGGGCGGCAGGCGATCGCTCAATTTGCACAAGTGCGATCAGGCGCAGTTCGTCAGGGGGCATAGCCCCAATCCCGAGCACCGGAATCCCAACAGGTACTGGACCGTTTTTCCGTTTTTTTGTTCTTTTAATTCCTCGTGAACTATGTTGGTGGTTTGGAATCGAAAGTCGCTTGTAAAGATGGCTTAAACTACGAGGTCTTCTTCGGAGAGGTTGTCTCCACCTGGTGGATGTCTTCTTTAGAACGTTTAATATCGAATCTACTTACATTAGTGTACGAAGAATCTGGTATTTTGGTACATATTTGTGTGTTTCTTAAGCACCAAGTGACCTGGTGCACTTTCTATGATTCTATCAAATCTTCTTACCTGAAACTCCATCACCAAAACAAGTAGTACTCATATAACCAATATATACTGCTCCACAAAAGTTAAGGAAGTTGACAAATATTCAGATTAATTTAAAAGTTGCAGGTTTTTTGATCGCCAAATTTAGTATGAATTGTTGAGGTAGGGGCAAAAAATCCACTTAGATATGAGAGAAAACATTTAATTTAGCATAAATGAAAATTTGGTGATCAAAAAGTCTGTATCTTTTAAAATAATCGCAAAATTTGCGAACTTCCTTAACTTTTGTGGAGCAGTTTATTTCTTGGTCATCTTTATACGTTTCTTAATCACCAGGTGATCTGGTGCAAAAAACTTCCACATATCCTACAATTCCACCAAATAATCATCTTACCAGAAACTCCATCATCAACACAAGAAGTACTCGAATAACCAATATCTTCCTTGGTCATTGTCATCTTCAGAAACTCCATCACCAACAGAAGAAGTACTCAAATAACCAATAATTTCCTTGGTCATTTTCATCTTCAGAAACTCCATCACCAACACAAGAAGTACTTATCAAAACATCCACATACCCTACGACACCATTTTAGTCTAGATGGCTAATCAAATGATCTTCTGATGAACTTGTCTCCATATCTAGACTATCCAATCAACTATAATTGTTCATTTACATGAGCTAGAACTCATCTTTGTATTATTAGTGTACACCTGGGGTTTTCAGTGATCTTTCTTTTGCTACTTTTGCACCTATTGATCTCATAAAGAACAACTTTTTAGTCTAGATGGCTAACCAAATAATCTTCTGATGAAATTTTCACCATATCTACACGATCCAATCAACTATAATTGCTCATTTACATGAGCTACACCTACTCTTTGTATTATTAGTGTACACCTCGAAACTCCCCCACCAACAGAAGAAGTACTCAAATAACCAATAATTTTCTTGGTCATTTTCATCTTCAGAAACTCCATTACCAACACAAGAAGTACTCAAATAACCAATAATTTCCTTGGTCATTTTTATACATTCCTTAATCACCAAGAGACCTGGTGCACAAACATCCACACACCCTACGATTCCACTAAGTAATCTTATTAACAGAAACTCCATCACCAACACAAGAAGTACCTACTCCTATAACCAATATCTTCCTCCTTGGTCATCTTCCAAAGTTCGCCTTGTTTTATAATCCTCCAGTAGGTTACTTTATACCAGAAATGCCATCTTCCAGACCAAATTTCCTCCTTACCAGAAACTCCATCACCAAAATAAGTAGTACTCATATAACCAATATCTTCCTTGGTCATCTTCATACGTTTCTTAATCACCAGGTGACCTGGTACACACATTTCCTCACACTCTACGATTGCACCAAATAATCTTCTTACCAGAAACTCCACCACCAGCACAAGAAGTACTTTTATAACCAATATCTTCCTCCTTGGTCATCTTAGAAAGTTCACCTTGTTTTATAATCCTCCAGTAGGTTACTTTATACCAGAAATGCCATCTTCCAGACCAAATTCCACCAAATAGTCTTCATACCAGAAGATCCATCACCAACACAAAAAGTACCTACTCCTATAACCAATATCTTCCTCTTTGGTCATCTTCGAAAGTTCACCTTGTTTTATAATCCCCCAGTGGGTAACTTTATACCAGAAATATCATCTTCCAGACCAGCAGACATCCCGGAGATCCTCTGGTTCGAAGAAGAAACGGAGCTGATCCGCAGCTGCGCCGCCCTCTCGTCGGCCGTCGGCCTCCAAAAGAGCTTCAGCACGTCGGACATCAGCCAGCTGCCGTCGCCGGAGGAGGCGCGCCGCCGCTCGCGCCCCGCCGTCTCCGAGCTGGCGCTCAACTCGCTCCAGCGCTCCGGCTACCTCCTGGAGCACGCCCGGCTCGACCAGACGTCGCGCTCCTGCTCGACGTGGGTGGCCGTCGGCGACGTCGCTTCGGCGTCGCAGCTGCCCTCGCCGCACGGCGGCCAATCGGGCGCCGGCGGCCAGTCGGGCGCCGGCGGTAATTCGGTCGCCGGCGCCCAGCCTCAAACGGCGAGCGCGCCTCCGCCGCCCGTCTTCACCGCCGCCGATTTCATCAGGTCCGTCAACAAGAAGGTGATGGTGAGGGGGGCGGTGAAGGGGGCGGCGTTTGACGGGGGTTTCTGCTGTTGCAGGTGCGCCAGAACTACATCAGGAGGCGGCTGTTGACCACCTACAAGGCCATCGAGCGGTTGTCGCAGAGCGAGTTCAATTTGGATAGATTAGAGATGACTACGAACGAGTCCTGCAAGGATGACCACCAGCCTGCTCCTTCTCGACTAACTGTTCCAGGTCAGATGGTACTTCTAGGTGCTTCGTGACCAATTAATGCAGCTTTAAAGCTATCGTTTAAGTCTTTAAGTTTGCTCCAATTGGACAAAACGACGTTCCTCTTCGCTCCCAAACAACAACATGTTAGTCTAGATGACTAACCAAATGATCTTCTGATGAACTTTTCTCCATATCTAGATAATCCAATCAACTATAATTGTTCATTTACATGAGCTAGAACTCATCTTTGTACCATTAGTGTACACCTGGTGTTTTCAGGGACCTTTCTTTTGCTACTATTGAACTTATTGATCTACCAGATAACAACATTTTAGTCTAGATGGCTAATCAAATGATCTTCTGATGAACTTTTCTCCATATCTAGACGATCCAATCAACTAGAATTGTTCATTTACATGAACTACACCTCCTCTTTGTACCATTAGTGTACACCTGGTGTTTCCAGCTACCTTTCTTTTGCTCCTTTTACACTTATTTATCCCCCAGAGAACAACTTTTTGGTCTAGAGGGCCAACCAAATGATCTTCTGGTGAACTTCTGTCCATACACATATGACCCAATCAACCAAAATTCTTCAATATATCAGCCAATATTTCATCAATCAAGACCTCAAGAACCCCTCTTTTGTACTATTTACACGAATACCTGGTGCACCAAGCGACCTTCCTTTTGCTCCTTTTGCACCTATTCATCTCATAAAGAACAACTTTTTAGTCTAGATGGCTAACCAACTCATCTTCCGGCGAACTTTCCTCCCTATCCAGTCCAACATCGTCCAATGTATCAACCAATTCATCACCACCATCACCTGGTGCACCAATTCAACCGAAAATTCAGCTCCGCCACAGCGACCAGCCGCTTCCCCAGGTGCTCTACGAAGACGATTTGTGCATTTTTTTCGTTCGCAGGTTCCAGTCCAACGCCCGGCAAGAGTCCAACGGGCACTCACGGCAACGCCGCCATGTTGAGGGCGGCCAAACAAAGGGCGGGGAAGAACCTGCCGTTGACCATCAGGGACGTGGAAAGGGAGCGGGGGAAGCCCCTCTCGAAGTACGAAAGGAACATGATGATATTCAATTGGCTGCACACGCTCGACGACACGGCCTACGTGGAGGGCATCCAGTAATCGATTATTAATCGATTCATCGATCGATCGTTACGCCGCTCGCAGATGACTAGATTAAAATTTTCTCGTTTGGAAGAAACATATCCGGAAGTGTGTATATAATTGTATACGTGTGTAAAACAAAGACGACTGCTAAAATTGTTAAATTTCTACTGCAAACCAAAAGTTTTTTCGAATTTCGCGCTTCTTTTTCTGTGGCTGAATTCGCTCGACTGAACGGGCCGGTTGTTCCTGCTCGAAGGACCTTCTCGCAGGACGCGGGAGAGAAAGGATCGTTCGAGGACGAATTGTGATATAATAATCTCAGATTAAACTCTGTTCCGATGATACAAAAAAGAAAAACCTCATGAAGTCTGATGTAAAGAAAACTGTAACTAGACTACTTGATTTTTAGCGACTTTTTCGAGACACACGTTATTATTATTATTATTAAATATTATTATTAAATCGCTTGTGCTCTAACATTATTGACAAATTTACGAAGATGTTTGTAATAAGATAAACAAATACCTGGATCTATTATTATCAATGTTTGATATATTTGTTAATTGTGAGTCATATCAAATAATACAAGTTTATTTGAAATTTTCAGTTCGTTTTATTCGTTTATAGGTAAGGGAAATAAATGCAAATAAAACAATCAAAATTTTTCATATTTTTATTACAGATTTGGCAAGGCAAAAAAGAGAGTTTTTCACAATTGTCAAATGTCAAACGTCAAAGTTCATATGTCAAACATCCAATCTCAACCGTCAAATGTCAAACTTCAACCGTCAAATGTCAAACTTCAGACGTGTCAAATGTCAAAGCGATAACAGAGAGAATTGCAGTCTTTGGCATGAGATGAGCATAATGATATTGGAATTTCCTTTCGGTCGTATTTGAGCACCAAATTAATACTTAATTAATACGAACAATAATCAATTAACTAATAATTAATTATAGATTAATATAGACTCTTCGAATTCAAACGTATTAGATTTACATTAACAACAAATTTCGATTAAGTAAACTATTTGGAGGGACACACTTTTTTCTATAAGGATTAATCGATTAATCGATTAATCGATTCCTATTTCACAACGATTTCCATCACACGTGATATGTAGATTACATATACAAACATTCGATAAACTACTCACATCGATTAAATTCGATAAAAATTCGATTGGCACGACGAATTTCCATGATCGATAATCAATAATTCCACCCTTTTAGAAGACACGACCTTTCCTATATACCGGGCGATCGCGAAAAGTACCGAGAAGTTGGCAATGCTGCAATCAGAGCTGCCAACTTATAATCTAGTGATTTTCATAGCCAACTTCTCGTCGTTCTTGCAATTCGCCCGGATATGATTACGAATTAATGATACGATAAAACAGCAACGGGTGAATTAATTTTTAAAGCTTAAAACTTAATAGTAATAAATAATTAATGTTATAAAATCTATACTAATTAATATCATCACATAATTGCCGAAAATGGAGGTCCTAGAGGGTTTTCTTTTTCGCGCCCTTCTTGATTCTAGGCAAAGTCGCAGTTTCCTAGAAAAAAAAAGAAGAAAATCGAATTAACCAAAACAATTCGTCCGTTATATCATAGAAAGCCGTGTTAATTTCAAACTGTCAATACTATTGACGTACACGTCAAATAAAAGCCGTCATTATTAATTTAAGTGTGACGTCATTACAGCATTATTTTGAACATTCTATACAGTTTTTAGCTGTCAATATTATTGTGTATAGGGTGTTTAAATGAAAATAAGAAGACTTGATTTTTACCACGTTTGTGACACCCTATACAGGTTGTCCCACGAAGAGTTAGAACTATCTGTATATTGGAAATTGCTTATCCGATTTAAATAATATTTGGTATACATATGTTATGTAAAGAGATAAAGTTAGTAGAAATATTTTGACAGTCGTACCACTTCCGGTTGTACCGGAAGTAGGCAACAACTTTGTTATTTCAAATGGAACACCCTGTAAATTAATATATATTCGAAATCTACGGAAAATTTTAGGGTACTTTTGTCTAAGACATTTTTTTCAAATATGCATACTTTTTGAGTTATTAATTTTTTTTTTTTGAAAATTTGACAGATGTAGATGCTTATAAATTATTTTTCTACGGGGATGCCCTTAAAGATATGAAAACGGTTTCTGTAGGGAGGCTACTAGAAAGGTGAGAGGTATTTAAACCTGCGTTGCAAACCTTTTTATTTTATACAGGGTGTGTACAAAAAATGCGTAAAGTTGAACATCAAAAATATCAAATTTTTTCGTTTTTTTTTTTTAAATAAAACCACCCATTTTTTTCTATTTTAATGAAATCAACGGTCAAAAATAAGGGAAGTTCATGTCTACTTCCCTATACCTAAACCTAATTGGTTTGAATATATTAAAAATTAATAGGTTTTATAAATTTGCCATGTAAATTATTCTCGATTAATTGATTATTAAGGTTGGTACTTGTTCTATAAACAGATAGTTTCAACTCGTCGTGGGACACCCCGTACGTGCGATATTAAAGTACATTCGACGAATGCGCATGCGCTTTTTGCAAACCCACTAGATTAAGCGACAGATTCGCCTAATCAAGTGATCCAAACAATCCAAATCAACGCCTTCCTCGATACAACAACAAACAAGCCCGAAACAACGAGTTAATCCAAAACACCAAACAAAACGGCAACGCTGTTAGTAGTTCACAATCATCCTCATGCCTTTTACATGGTACAGTATTCGGTCTAATCGTCAATCGCTGCGACCGCCCCCTCCGAATTCCCCACCACGATCAGCCTTCTGAGCGCCGCCGGCGACGCGCCCGCCGCCCCCCGGCTCAGATCATCGACGCTGCGCGACGCCCCGTGCATTACACGATCGAGCCGCGAGAGGCAGCGCCGTCGCGGCGCCCTCGGGCTCAGGAAGACCTCCTTACGGGCGGCGTCCAGCGTCCTGAGGCGGCCCGGCCTCAGCACCAGCGTCGCTCTGACGGGCGGCGGCGGCGGCGCCCGGCGCTTGTTGTACCGGCCGCCGCGGGGCGGCGCCGGCGGCGTCGCGTTTAGTACCTGGGCGTCGGCGTCGGTGGCGGCGTCGAAGAATTCCGCCTCTTCGCTCGACGACGAGTGGAAGACGATCGTCGAATCGTGTTCGTCGATGTCCTTCGAACACAAAATGGCGGTGGTTTTTTTTTTACTGCGCATGTCCGTTCCTTGGGATTTTGTAGTGAATAGGGAGTCGAAGGATGGGGTTTTTACGATGTAAATGCACGTATAATGGAGCGATTGGGGGTCCTTTAAAACGGGACCAAAGAAGAAGCAAGTCTTGTGACTGGGTGGCTCAAGTACTTGCATGTAAGAGGCCGTTTTTTTGTGATATTGGCAACGCTGTAATTGGCTACGTTTATTTGACAATTTTATGTATTCGAGAGTCTATTATTAATTATCTAAGGGTGTAATTTATGGCCGAATAGGCAGGTAAGATGAGGCCGATAACTTCAGAAGATGTTATAAGAAATTCCGAATAGCCAAATTGGTTGAGACCAAAGCAAGACGAAAAAGAAGAAGTAGAAACATAACAATCGGCATTGCCAACACAATTTTTGACATTTGTAGACAACTTCGCTCTAAACTGGGGGCGACTTCTAGTGTACAAAAACGACTAACAATAATACAGTGAGGATCAAAAGTCCATCGCCCCCCATTTAACTTTTGAATGGTAAGAGCTTTTGTCGCGCAATTTGGGGTGTTTATATTGGAGTAAAAATACTATTTTTTGACGTAAAAGTGACAGTTGAAACTTTCGAAATGACAGTTAGGCGCCATTTTGAATCTTTTTTCTTATGAAAAGGGGGGTCAAGTGACACCTTGTTTTAAAGGTAATTTCATTCTTAAGTCAACCCCCAAATTTGAAAACATTTTAATAACGCGTATTCAAGTGAAGACCAATTTAGTTTTAACCCCCGGGCATATTGATACATTTAAAAATTAATTCTGAACCTATTATAAAATGTGTCAATTAATTGTTGCTATGGTTTCTTGGCTCTGACATTTATTTGTCAAATTTAAAGTTGATGAAATTGACAATGGCTCGTCATTTAAACGAAAAAACTGTCATTTCATCAACTTTAAATTTGACAAATAAATGTCAGAGCCAAGAAACCATAGCAACAATTAATTGACCCATTTTACAGTACGTTCAGAATTTATTTTTAAATGTATCAATATACTCGGGGGTTAAAACTAAATTGGTCTTCACGTGAATAAGCGTTATTAAAATGTTTTCAAATTTAGGGGTTGACCTAAGAATGAAATTACCTTTAAAACAAGGTGTCACTTGACCCCCTTTCCATAAGAAAAAAGATTCAAAATGGCGCCTAACTGTCAATTTGAAAGTTTCAACTGTCATTTATACGTCAAAAAACAGTATTTTTACTCCAATATAAACACCCCAAATTTCGCGACAAAAACTCTTACCATTCAAAAATTAAAGGGGGGTGGCGACGCACTTTCGGTCCTCACTGTATATAAAGGTACTTACATCGCCGGCGCCGGGTTTCCTGGGCACATTGGACCGCGTCACCCTCGTGGACTTCGACCTGGTGAGCGATCCGGCGCGCTGACCGCCTCCACCGCCCCCGCGCCTCGTCAGCCCCTCGCCGCTGGAGTATCCCGACGAGGAGACGTCGCCGGGGGCGAGCGGCGCCGCCACCGCCCCCTCCGCGAAGTACACGGCCGTCGTGGAGGCGGAGCGCAGCGGGCTGCGGCGGCGGCGGGCGAGCGCCGGGGCGGCGTCGCCGCCGCCGGCCTCCTCCAGCCCGCCGGCGTCGGTCAGATCCCCCAGGCTGTAGCTCTTGCGCAGCTGGTTCACCAATCCGCCGCCTCCCTGGAATTTACTTTGAGGTTAGGGTGATACGGTGCTTCTCCGGTGGCCTTTTGCTGGTGTGGTTGCAGTGTTGTTAAGTAATTAATTACAAGTAATTGAATTACTATTATTGTAATTGAGGCGGTAATTAATTACAAGCTCCTCAATTGTAATTCGTTTGTAATTCAATTACTCCTTTCGTTACAATTACAATTACATTTTACGATTACATTTCAATTACATTGGAGACAAAAGTACTTATTTAATATTTTCAATACTTGGAAGTTTATTTCCGATTGCAAATCCCTAAATAATTATTTAAAACTGACACCAAAGCAAAGTAATTGTGATTGTAATTGTAATTGTAATTACATTCGTAAATTTTGTAATTGTAATTGCAGTTAATTACAATTTGCCAAAAGTAATTGTAATTGTAATTAATTACATATTATAAAGTAATTTTAACATCACTGCTCAATTGTAATTCATTTGTAATTCAATTACTCCTTTCGTTACAATTACAATTACATTTTACATTTCAATTACATTGGACACAAAAGTACTTATTTAATATTTTCAATACTTGGAAGTTTATTTCCGATTGCAAATCCCTAAATAATTATTTAAAACTGACACCAAAGCAAAGTAATTATGATTGTAATTGTAATTGTAACTTTTATTGTAATTGTAATTGTAATTAATTACATATTATAAAGTAATTTTAACATCACTGTGTGGTTGTTAGCGAATTGAGCAGTTAAGAAGCTGTGTTAGTACCGGTGACGTGTTAAAATAATACTTGCAGTTTGTTTTACTTAAAAAAACATTGTAATTGACATTTAAATATCACAAATGCGCTTAATTTGTTCATTGGACTTCTACTAATTAACGAACAAACTAAATAGTCCAACAAACAATCGAAACAAAACTAATGCAAACAAATTATAAAAACTACCAAATTTATTAAAAAATACGTTTAAAAAATAATCGTGTATACAATAATCATCAGTACATCATGCGCGCGCAGATTAAAACAAAACAAAATCGACCAATCAATCGCTAAATTCAAACATGTCAGTCTCCGATTTGGCCGCCTTGATTTTCCTGCCGCTTTTGCGCGCCTGCGCTTGGGCGGGCTTGGCCTCGTCCTTGCGCCTTCTACCGCGACCCTTCTGCCGGGCCTTCGACTCTTCGGGCACCAGCTCATCGAGGTACTCGTCGATCGGCGGCCCCCCCGGCCCCCCCGACTCGTCGTCGCTCGACAGCTCCGTCGTTTCCGCCGCCGCCGCGCCGTCGGGGCGATCCTTGGGGGCGGCCGCCGCCCGCCCCAATTGGTCCTGGTTGAGCAACGCCAGCGCCACCGGTAGCTGCGTCACCGACTGGAATCAACACGACCAATTTAAACGCCGCGTTCACGTCGAATCGCTGACAAGTGACAGTTTGACAATTGACGGGGCGATTGACAGTCAGCGACGCTCCTCCGATGCTCGTTTGTTCGAAGCGAGTGTTAGAAGCGAAAATAAAACGAATATGAAGGCGGCATGCAAATTGTGCGTCATGTGTCATGTGTCATGCGTCACGTGTCATGTGTCATGTGTCAACTTACTTTGATGGCCGTTTGCATGAGAGCCGATACGCCTTTGGAGCCGATGTCCAGGACTTGCCTGTAGCTTTGCTCCTTGGCTTTGTTGATGTAATCGTCGATTTCCTGCGAAAAGGAAGAATTGTGTAAAAATTTTATGGTAATTGGTAAATTGGGGTAATTCATGGTAAATTGACGGTAAATTGGTAGTATTTGACGGTAAATTGGTGGTAATTGATGGTACATTTGTGAAAATGCATTGTAAATTGGGTTAATTTATGGTACATTGAAGGTAAATTGGTAGTAATTGACGGTAAATTGGGGTAATTCATGGTAAATTGGGGTAATTCAAGGTAAATTGGGATTATTCAAGGTAAGTTGATGGCAAATTGGAGTAATTCATGGTAAATTGATGGTAAATTGTGATAATTCATGGTAAATTGAAGGTAAATTGGTGATAATTCATGGTAAATTGGGGTAATTCAAGGTAAATTGCGATAATTCAAGGTAAGTTGATGGCAAATAGGGGTAATTCATGGTAAATTGGTAATAATTGATGGTAAATTGGGGTAATTCATGGCAAATTGGTAGTAATTAATGGTAAATTGGGGTAATTCATGGCAAATTGGTAGTAATTAATGGTAAAATGGGGTAATTCATGGTAAATTGGTGGTAATTGATGGTAAATTGGTGAAAATTTATTATAAATTGGGGAAATTTATGGTAAATTGGTAGTAATTGATGGTAAATTGGGATAATTCATGGTAAATTGGTAGTAATTGATGGTAAATTGGTAGTAATTGATCGTAAATTGGTGATAATTGATGGTAAATTGGGATAATTCAAGGTAAATTGGTATAATTCAAGGTAAGTTGATGGCAAATTGGGGTAATTCATGGTAAATTGATGGTAATTAATAGTAATTGGCAATAATTGATGGTAGACTGGTGGTAATTGATGGTAAATTGGGGTAATTCATAAGAAATTGATAATAAATTGATGGTAAATTGATGGTAATTGATGGTAAAAATTGCCGGTAATTTACGTACTTGTTCCCTGGAACTGAGCGTCGGATGGACGAATTTCCTGTATAAAATGCTGGAGCCTTTTGTGGCAGGTGACAGCAGCCAAATGACGATGACGATTTTTATTTCATAATAAAAAGGAAACCTGGAAATGAAGCTTGTTAAATTCTGGCGCCATTTTGGAGTGTTTGGTGGCCTCTTGCTGATGCGCAATCAAGTTAAGTGTTCGAATTTATTCATTTTAACGCTTACCAACTCAAAAAGACATCGGTGAAGGTTTCCACGCACGTGAAAAGGGCGAATACTATCCAGTACATCATCCATTTCACCTGAAATTTCGTGTTCCGTGGTATAAATACTTTAAAAAAATCTAATAAACTTACATATTCCTTGACGTTCTTCGTCCTCACAGCCTTGTAGGAAGCATAAGCGGGATAGAGAGTACCGAATAGCAATCTGAAAGAGGGATAAAACACGAAATAAGTGACCGTTTTGTGACAAACCAAGAGTAGGCCGAGCAAAAGGCCGCCCAAACGGGCGATCGTCGGCCATTTATCCAACATTTCGAACGTACAAATCGCGTCAAATGGCCCGCGATCGACGCATATTCAAAGTGCAACGATCCGATTCTATTTCCGTTTGAATTTCATTGTGATTTTAAAACGCGGAAAACCAGTCCCCGTACGACTAAATTTAGATGTTTAAACTAACAGCCGAGGCGGCGTTGAAACTGTTACTCACTACTCGTCGACCTACCCTCGTAGATGCTCTTTTCTATCATAAGTATATCACTATGACCTGTCCGTTCCAGAAGATGGTGAAGCGAATTTGCGGTTTTTCCCTCTGAGACATCGCGATGATGTTTCGTTTGGATGATATTTCGAGCGACTGTCGTGGATTTTTTTTGTTTCGAGCGCTCGGTTTATATTTACATGTAGAAAACGTTTCGTACGCCCCTCGTACGGTGTTTATTTTGGTCGCGTCGATAAAGTCGAGTTGGCCGTGACGCGAAGTTGGCTCCACGCGATGGAGTGGTGCTTGATTTATTGGATTAAACAAATAAATGCAACGCTTTGTATAATGTATACGATTTAAATACCGAAATAGTATCTTAAAATAGTTAAATCTAATCTCTAGTTTTATCTAGTTACAATCGATAGGAAATCGAAAAATTAATCGATTGTGTGGCTAATCGGTCGTTGACGTTGATAATAAAATTAGCATTTCGGTTTGTTTACGTTACGCATTCGGTTTTATTTGAATAAATTTACATGTTTCCGTTATGATTTTGCGGATATTTAATTATATTTCCGGAATTTTCGATTAACAATGCTGGTACAAATAGGAATCGATTCGAACAATGAGATACATTGACAATTGACGTTTTGATTTAAATGTTGTTTTTCGTGTTTTTTCGAATGTTTTTTTTGAAACAGGCGATTTATTTATTCAAAATGGGAAGGTTTTTGCAATATTTATTCATTGTTATACGAAAATTATAATTATTTATTACATTTATTAAAAGAAGAAGAATCGATTCGAACTTTGACATATTGACAGTTGGCGTTTGGTATATTAAAAAATATAAATTATGTTGTTTGAATTGATGTGTAATTAAGTGTTTTTAAGTGCTTCCTGGGGAATAATTGGATCAATTTGACTGAATTGGGTGAGTTTTGTAACATTTATACAAATTTCGAGTGAAATTTAATGCATTTTTGTCATAATTTTAAGCACAAACTAACAGCGCAGAAATCGAGCCAAGATCATCTAGTAAACTGATTTTCGCTTGTAATACCTACCTCATAATGACTCCGTGATTTATTTAATTAAAATGGGAAGTTTTTTGTAATATTTACTCAATATTGAACGCAAATTATAATTGTTTAATGCAGTTGCAAAAAGAAGAAGAATCGATTCGAACTTTGACATATTGACAGTTGACGTTTGGTTTATAAAAAAATATAAATTAATTTGTTTAAATTGAAGTGTAATTAAGTGTTTATAAGTGCTTCCTGTGGAATAATTGGACCAATTTGACCGAATTGGGTAAGTTTTGTAACATTTATACAAATTTCGAGTGAAATTTAATGCATTTTTGCCATAATTTTTAATGCCATTGGCGCAAATTCGCTGCCGTATAAGGCTCAGAAATCGAGCCAAGATCATCGAGTAAACTGGTTTTCGCTCGTAATAACCCCATAATGACTCATTTCGCATAATTTCATCTCGTTTTTTCCACGTAAAATCACCGAATTCGACGCATTTTCACCATTACAAAACCATCCGTTACGCTTCGTTTCGCATCAAAACAATCCAATCAACAAACGGATTACATATGTTCTATGTTATGTACACACACACACACAAAACAAATCTACTTACATAACTAATCTCGACAAAATGGCCGATATCATTTTCCTTCAGCGATTATCACCGTAATCCTTTGGAATTTTCCCTGTTTTTCCGCCCCCTTTCACTCGATCGCTTTTCACGTTAAAACATCAAAAAATCGCACGAATCGCGATCGAACATTGTCACCGTTCGCTCGTTCACCGACATCTTGACGTCCTTTTTATCGCGCTGTTGCCACATCGCGCTCCGAATCCAAATAATCCCTCCGTTCCATTCGAATGATTCCGTTGTAAAAGTAGCAGGTTTCGCGTATTTTTCGAACGATTTGGCAACGCTGTAATCGAGCGTATGGCGCACGGGCGGCGTTGCCGGTTCGTCGTAGATGACCGGAGGTTTTCGGATGCGATTAGTCGGATTTATGTACGGGGCGTGTTCGATAATTTCTGAAATTAGATAGTAGAATTGTTAATGGGACATCCTGTATACCGAACGCGTAAATTTGGCAATTCGGTGTTGTTTTCGTTTCGTCAATGCGAGATGAATCGTCGCAAAATATTTATCTATTTTATCTCATTTATTTAATGTAAATATTATTGGATCGATTTTTTTTATACAGGGTGAGCGCCGTCTAATTTCGGCTTAAATATCATATACAGGGTGTCCTAAAACGCTGGACACGTTCTAAATGTTTTTTGAACTCTTCTAGTTTGCTCTGGACCGATTTAAATAGTCCTGTATCTGTTCAAAACGATTCAGGACAGGATTAAATAGTTGAAAGATCGTCTTGAACTGTTTCAAATGGTCCAGGTCGTTTTTAAATCGCTTCTAAATGATTCCGAGCAGTTCTAATTTGTTCAAATACAGTTCTAAATAGTTTTGAAACAGTCCATAAATGTTTCAAATGATCCAGGTCAGTTCTACATAGATTGTAAATGATTCTGAACAATTCTCATTTGTTCAGGAACTGTTTTAAATAGGTTTAAAACTGTCCATAATTGCATCAAATGGTCCAGGTCACTTTTAAATCGGGTTTAAATGATTCTGGGCAGTTCTAATTTGTTCAGAAACAGTTCTAAATAGTTCTAAAACAGTCCATAACTGTTTCTAATGATCCAGGTCAGTTCAAAATTGATTCTAAATGATCCTGAACAGTTCTTATTTGTTCAGGAACAGTTCTAAATGGTTCTAAAACAGTTCATAACTGTTTCTAATGATCCAGGTCAGTTCTAAATTGATTCTAAATGATCCTGCACAGTTCTTATTTGTTCAGGAACAGTTCTAAATAGTTCTAAAACAGTCCATAACTGTTTCAAATGATACAGGTGAGTTCTAAATTAATTCTAAATGATCCTGAACATCTCTTATTTGTTCAGCAACAGTTCTAAACGATTCTAAAACTGCCCTGAACGGTTTCAAATTATCCAGGTCAGTTCGAAATTGATTCTAAATGATCCTGAACAGTTCTAAGTTGTCCAACAACAATTCTAAATAATCCTTAAACTGTCTTGAACTGTTTCAAATGATCCAGGTTAGTTCTATATTGATTCTAAATGATCCTGAACAGTTCTAAGTTGTCCAACAACAATTCTAAATAATCCTTAAACTGTCTTGAACTGTTTCAAATGATCCAGGTTAGTTCTATATTGATTCTAAATGATCCTGAACAGTTCTAAGTTGTTCAGCAACAGTTCTAAACGATTCTAAAACTTTCTTGAACTGTTTCAAATAATCCAGGTTAGTTCTATATTGATTCTAAATGATCCTGAACAGTTCTAAGTTGTTCAGCAACAGTTCTAAACGATCCTTAAACTGTCCTGAACTGTTTCAAATGAATCAGGTTAGTTCTAAATTGATTCTAAATGATCCTAAACAGTTCTAAACAATCCTTAAACTGTCCTGAACTGTTTCAAATGATCCAGGTTAGTTCTAAATTGATTCTAAATGATCCTGAATAGTTCTTTATTGTTCAGGAACGGTTCTAAACGATCCTAAAACTGTCCTGAATGGTTTCAAATGATCCAGGTGAGTTCTAAATTAATTCCAAATGATCCTGAACAGTTCTAAGTTGTTCAGCAACACTTCTAAACGATTCTAAAACTGTCCTGAATGGCTCGAACTGTCCTTAAATGCTCGAACTGTCCATTTGAAAAATGGTCCCAAAATGCCCAAAAAATACACATTTTTTTTTTCTCGTTGTTCCTACATGTTATCCAAACGTTATCCAACCGATTTTCACTTATAAACTTCCTCCTCGAACCGGCAACGTTCCCATTTCCACGGCGCATCTCGTCGTGCGCAAGCCCGCTCGATATCCCCGAACCTCGGTATTTCCGAAGAGCAACGGCAACGCCGCCTCGACGGGGGGGCCAATTCGAAGCGCGCGATACCTTTCTCCCGAAGTCTCTCGACGTCTCCGCGGCCATGCGTCGCACGTAGAACGGGTACAATAGAGCGGAAAATCCCCGGAACCGCGAAAATTTCCACACCGGTAGGAAAACTCGAGCGAGTTTTCCGGCGATCGCGCGAGTGTTTGTTGGTGCGTGCGAGTGTCGGTTTGAGTGCGGAAAATATGCGGTAAATGGCGTACAAGTATCGCGAGGAGATCGTGGGCAAGAGGTTCCTGTCGTTGAGCGGCGGCGGCGGCGGCGGCGGCGGCGGCGGCGACGAGGGGACGGCGACCGGGAGGATCGGAGATTGGGGCTGGAGGAGCGGCGTCGTGCGCGCCGCGACGCACCGGGACGTCGCCGACTGCGATTTGCAGGTGAGGTACTGGGAAAGCTCTCTGGTACAACGGAAAAGCCACTTTTTTTGGTTGATTGGTTGGTGTACGTCGAGGTTTCGAGTTGAGGAAGTTTGATCTTCTGGGTGGAGGTTGAGGAGTTTTCCGAGTTTTCCTGTATATTTCTAACTTGGTACTTCAAATAGGCTTGTGGGAAATTATTGTTTGTTTATCTTGATTAGACTACTTTTGGTAGTACCTACTGCGGGGAATGTGTCACAGTGTGTCAAATGATATTCGGGGATTCCCCCTAAAACTTTGTTCCAAAGTTGTTTGTTTTTATTTTTTTGATGATTCTCCAACAATTAGTCGTACCTAATTGTTTGATTGATTGATTGGTGTAAATTGACGTTTCGAGTTGAGGAAGTTTCATCTGCAGGGTGGAATTTGAGGAGTTTTTCCATACATTTCTATAACTTGGTACTACTTGAAAAAATATTAACCAAATGAGTTGTGGAAATATATTGTTTATTTATCATGATTAGACTACTTTTGATAGTACCTACTGCGAGGAATTGGACACAGTTTCAAATGATATTTGGGGATTCCCCCTAAAACTTTGCCCCAAAGTTGTTTGTTTTTATTTTTTTTAAATCTCCAAAAGTTAGTCGTACCTAATTGATTGATTGGTGTAAATCGACGTTTCGAGTTGCGAAAGTTTCATTTTCAGGGTTGTATTTAAAGAGTTTCCCGACTTTCTCTGTACATTTCTAACTTGGTACTACTTGAAAAATTAGGTTTTCATCTCTCCAAATAAGTTGTGGAATAATTTTGTTATTTATCTCGATTTGACTACTTTTGGTAGTACCTATTGCGAGGAATGTGTCTCACAGTTTCAAATGATATTCCCCCTAAAACTTTGTCCCAAAGTTGTTTATTTTTATTTTTTTTGATAAATCTCCAAAAATTAGTGGTACCTAATTGATTGATTGATTAATTGGGGTAAATCGACGTTTCGAGTGGCGAAAGTTTCATCTTGAGAGTGATATTTGAGGAGTTTCCCGAGTTTTCCTGTCCATTTTTAACTTGGTACTACTTGAAAAATTAGTATTTCATCGCTGCAAATAAGTTGTGGAAATATATTGTTCATTTTGGTAGTACCTACTGCGAGGAATGTGTCACAGTTTCAAATAATTGGGGGATTCCCCCTAAAACTTTGTACCAAAGTTGTTTATTTTGTTTAATAAATCTCCAAAAATCAATCGTACCTATGGTAAGTTCCCCGTAGGTGGAAGTACCGAATTATTCATACGATTTGTATAAAAATTTCCCGCGGAATAAATTATAATGGTCTCGGTTACAGTTTGTTTACAGTTACATAAGTTATTTACCCGAGATCGTAATCGAGGTTTTAAGGTTACCCCGTACGAACGAATCGCGCGATTTTTATCGTTCTCTCGGTACTTTTCGAGTTCCGTTTTCGCGGAAACCGTGTCACTATGTTTACGCACCTGCCGGTGGTACCGTTGGCGATTTTTCTCCGATCGGATCGAGAGTTTTTTCGACGATTTTTCGAGCGTGATTCGCTCTGGTATTGTAAAAAGTTTCGGTACGACCTGTTAGAAATCGAGCGTTTTCTCTCCGGTACTACTCCGTTTAATTTTTCTTCGTTTTTTTCTTAAACTGACATTACATGAAGGTCGACGACCGGCCTTTGGTACGTTAGCGTTCACTTTCTCCGCGCCTCAGTAACGGTACTAATTAGTACTAACGTACGTTGTACGTATAGGGAAATTTTTGTTTCGAAATTCTCGAATTCGAATTCGTCTACACGTGGGATTGTTTACGTTCTACGCACAAGAAGGTCGTACTTTTTACGCTTTATTATCAAGGCTCTTTGTAGTACTACCTACCTAATTCGGTAATTATTATAATTTTAGTGGTTATATCGGTGTAGCGAGAAAATAAGAAATTTCGGAACCACAGCCTACTACTCCGAAACTCCTCTTGCACAAAGTACTACCTAATAACGCAACAAGTGAAAGTCATAATAAAAAATAATCGAGATTTCTTTAACGTTTCGCAATGTTGGTAACGTTACGGCCCGTCTCTTCCTATTAGGAACCGATTTTGATACGGCGATTCGGTGTCAAGTACGTCGGTACTACTTTTAGCTCACGAAATATAACACTGTGGGTCAAGGTGTGCGCTGCACGAGCCTATCAAAGGCAACTTTGATTCCACTAGTAAAGTGTCAGAAGAGGGACTTGCATCTAGGAAAGGTACTAGAAGATTTTAGTGCGATCTGGAGTACCAAATGTAAGAGACTCATTTAATTAGAGAATCGCTAAAAGGAGGCTGTGAAGATTCACCGGCCATCTGCGATTACAACTCGCAAACTCATCTCTCAATTTTGTTTTGCTCCATTTCTTGACGAGCAACAAAAAAAAAACTGGAAAAATTGGAAAACTGGAGCGGTCGCTCCGACCCCAAATCGTCGCCGTTCTCGCCTAACGAACCTCAACGCTCTTTCGGGCTCTATTATCTCTCTCTCTCTCTCTCCCTCCCTCTGCGCGCCCGCCTCCTTTATATTTCTCGCCCGAATTCCGACCAGTGGAAATTCAAGCCGATGTACCGTTTGGATTCGCGCGTAGAGTTGGAAGAGAACGAAAATTAAAGAGTTATCGCTCTAGTTTTTGGGTATAAGACTCTGGATAATGAGTTCCGGAAAGGTACTCGATTATTGCAACTGCGAAGATGTGGAGAAGTGAATGCAATATTGCTAGAGGTATACTTGCTTTGATATTTACGTTTAGAAGACTCGATTCGCGTTTTGAAGACTAAAGTGACTCAAATTGTGGATGTGGAATGTCTGGAAAAGCATCTGGGAATCTCTGGAAAGGTACTCGATAGTTTGAACATTTGTATGTATTGTGTATGAAGTAGAGAAGAGCTGTGCAGAAGTGTAGAATACACTACTTGATTCGTTCACATCTTATAGAACTCTCTGGAAAGGTACTCGATTATCGGAACTGCTGAGATGTGTAGAAGTGAACTTAATATTGCTAGAGGTATATTTGCTTTTGATATTTACATTTAGAAGACTTTAAAGAGATCTAAATTGTGGATACTCTGGAAAGGCGCTCGATTATTGTCACTGTAAAGCTATGGAGAAGTAGCAATGTACCTACAACGTCTCGATTTGCGTTTTGAAGACTAAAAAGACTCAAATTCTGGATGTGGAAAGGCTAGAAAAGCATCTGGGAATCTCTGGAAAGGTACTCGATAGTTTGAACACTTGTATGTATTGTGTATGAAGTAGAGAAGAGCTTTGCAGAAGTGTAGAATACTTGTTCACATCTTGTAGAGGTCTCTGGAAAGGTACTCGACTAATGGAATGATAGATAGAGCTGATTAGTACATTGGGGATTTTCCCAAATATCCACCGCCTGCTCGGATCGAGTTGTATCGATACAACACGGCGAGAATTGGAGCAGTTACACGAATTCCATTCCGGTCCTGCGTTTTCCACATTTTCCTCCGGCATTCGGGAATAGTATCGCCCTTCTGGCGGTTTTCCATTTGCAGTTTCCTCATTTAAATGTAGATTTCCACCGCCCCCTCTGGCGTCGGCAAATTTTTCCGGCTTTAGTCCTTCGTCAGAATGTATGCGTTTTGTTCTGATCAAGTGAGCTGGTTTAATCCTCTGGACAAGATGAAGGCGATTCTAGCATAAGTAGTCGAGCATATTTGTCTAAATAGCAGCTCGTTAAGCGTCGCTGAATTATCCAGAGAAGTCCATTAGATCGAAGAAGGCTCGTCCTTGAGATTTATCTCCGAAGGAATCCTGGAAGATGCGAAGGCAATAGTGTATATTCCCCTTCGTCTGTATATAGGACTAGAAAAACTGGATCAAATTTTGGAATGGAGTGGCAATTTCCCGTCCTCTCTTCCAGCAATTACGCGTAACTGCTAAACAGTTTCCAGTCCTAATATCCAGAGACGCTCGGCTCTAATTACGGCCCGTCCCTATTAAACCGCTTCGTTCTTTTCTCTAAAAAAGGGCTCTACATATCGGCGCGGGAGCGGTTATCCAGATAGACACGCCTGGATAGACCCGGGAGAGAGAAAGAGAGAGAGAGAGGGACGGAAAACTTTAAATTCCAAAGCGAGTCCCATCGGGACTCGATGTACTGTTTATACGCGCTTTCGTTCCAGAAACTGGAAACTATTCCAGTAAGTCGATAAAAGGGTTCCAGATGATTCCGCGTTGCCAGGAAAAACCCGTTCCAGTTACGGCTCTTCCTGTTCGTTGTTCGCTTAAAGGGGATGTTTCCTTTATAGGGATGTAGGGGAGCGAAACGGCTCGCATAATTAGAGATGGCCGTGATATTGACGTTTGAAGAAGATGGATGGAACTGGAGCAAGTTACAATTCTAAATGTATGTAGATATTTCAACGTGTTTTGGTACAATTGTACTACTTTTGGTGGTACTGTAGAGTTAATTACAGCCTCTAGTAATCGGGATATACGCTCAATATTCCAAGACCAACTAGACGTGCTTTACATTTAGAACGTTTGGACTACTATTTGGTAGTACCGTGAACTGTTCCAAGCGATTAGGAACTCCTCAAATGCATTTCAATAATTTATTCCAAGAGCTACTAGACGTGCTTTACATTTAGAACGTTTGGACTACTATTTGGTAGTACCGTGAACTGTTCCAAGCGATTAGGAACTCCTCAATTGCATTTCAATAATTTATTCCAAGAGCTACTAGATGTTGAGAATCGTCTTGTGCACGTGTCCTCGTGATTACTGCAATAAAATTGGAGGGGATGAAGTACCTGAGTCGCAACTGGCTGATTTTCGCGCGTATAAATAGTACTATTTCACCTTGGCATTTTCCTTTTACTCGCTCGTGCGATAGCCTTCGCCTACGGTACTATACGGTACTCGACGATGTATCGGGCGATCTTTTCGTATATAAATACGGATAATCATCGAGGGGACTTTCACTTTTCTCGGACGCTTACAGGTAGTACCTCGAAATCTGCGCTTGGAGGAGTACCTTCGAGTACTTCGATCGTTCGAATGTAGCACCTGAAGCCTTCTAGTGATACTAAACAACTGTGGAGGAAGTTCCCAATCTCCCTTGAGAGTACTTGATGAACTTCGTTAATAATAAAAAACAATTGGTGTACATTCTAGATTGAGCTATCCTCTTTACGTATGTATAGCCTTGATCTTTGCAAAGCTAACTCGATTACCGTCGAGATTTTTATATACGAAATGCAGCCCGTTGTATATGTCGTTATGCAGCCACACAAAAACAAGGCCACGTGCGTTTACGATTACACGTCACGCTTTCGCCGATCACAGATGGCGTAGTAGGTGCGGATACGTGTATATACGTATAACGACGATCTAGTAGGCGCGTTTTTTCGCGCGACGAACCCAAGATGGCCGCCGAATGTTTTGGTAAACAGTTAGTTTCCATAGTAACGGTTTATATCGTTTCGCGTGCGCGTCCGCGTAGGCGGCGGTGGAACCGGCACGTGCTCGATCGACTCGTTCGGGCGGTGGGGGGGAGGGCGAAGTGGAGGGGGAGGAGAGGGGGCGGAGTCGCTTCGAAGGCGGCCATGTTGGAGAGCTCGGAGCGCCGGTAAGTAGCGCCCTCTCGGCGGGCGTTTGGAGAAGCTCCGTTGGCGCCTTTTTTTTTCTCTAGCCGGCGGCGTTGCCGGGTCGGTGAGGATTTCGGGAAAGATGCGATAAAGAGAGGTGGTGCAGCGGCGAACCAGATGGTACTGGTGGTACCGAGAAAGCGTAGCATGACCGGTTTAGATGGCGCGTTGCGAATCGATTGATATAATCGATTGTTCGACGTTTGACTTTCGTTTGACCTTTGCAGGGCGAGGTGGAGGCGATTTGCGGTTTTGAATCGAACGAGGGTCTCGGGACGGATGGATGCAAAAAGGAAATAAATATAAAAGGGATAATTTCGAGTGTTTCTCTCGATCTCGGTTGTCCGTCGTTTCGAACAGGGCCGGATTCGAGTTCGATGTTCGATTTAAAACGGTCAAAGTAAAAGGCCGGTAAACGGGAGAAAATGTCCTCGTAGCCTTCCATGATTTTATTGAGGGATGTAAATTGTTGTAGATCAACGTAAAAGGCCAGCAACGTAGCAAAATGTGACGTGTAGGTAATTTCCTCGTAGCCTTCCGAGAGCCTTTATTTTGAGGAAGGTATTTTATGTAGATTATTAAGAAGGCTATGTAAATTGTCATCGATACTTTGTTCACAGCCTGCCGAGATTCTTCCAAATTCCGTCCGCGATTTTTCCTTTAATTAGACATCCGAGAGAGAGAGAGAGAAAAAAAACTGGTCGATTTTCCTCGAGGAAAACTACCGTTGAGTTTTCCGTTTAATTGCTTTTAGCTGGACGATGAGCCGCACAAACAAACGTCTAGGAAAAACCTTTCGGTAACTTTGACCTATTTCCGGGCGGAAAAGCCGGGGAAAACCGAGCTATACAAGCTATACACATCCTTTTTTTTTCTCTTCCACCGGCATTCGCAGCACCGTAATCGCCCTAATGCTCCAAAAAAATAATCACAAAACATTCCACACATCACAGATCAGACGTAGAAAATCCTTTTCTTACGAATAGAACACAATCAATGAGTCGATCAATGAGGCAATATCGTACTACTCATGGCGACACCTCTCATTGGTTGATAATACAATCGAGTGACATACAAACCACAGCGATTGGTCAGACTCGACGATGTCACTACTCAGCAATCGCGTCCATGGCTAACTTGTTAATTGGATTTTTGGAAAATTTTCAGGTGCTGGTCGAGTACGATGACTCGGAATGGCAGCGACGCGAGTGGCTCAGCGTGCATCAGAAAGACGGCCTATTTCGCCTGTTTATGGTGGAGCGCGGGCTGGTGTGGGCGCGTCGCGAGGACCCCTTCAGTACCGCCCGCGAGACGGTACTTTGGCCCGCTCTGGTAAGTACTCGTTTGTTCTGAAACACTGATGGAACTGATGGAAGATGTATAGAGAGAACTGTGGTGCTTCTGGAATCGATTTACTATAGGTAGCTTCTAGGTGGTACTAAGGAGATGTAATTAGATCTAAGTGGGTAGGTACTCTGTAAAGAGTACCTACTACAACGGTGCTTGTAATGTAACACTAGGTATCCGATTGGATGTTGATTTTGTTGAGAGGTGCTTAGAGGTGGAAAGAAAGAGTCGGAATTGATTGGTAGAAGGTTCTTTCGGTACTACAAACGTGCTAATCAAGTCCTAAGTAGTACCTACGATTATACGCAAGGCTAAATACGCTTGAATTTTATTTTTGAAGTCGTTTGTTGTCTGCGGAAGATGACTTTACTACTTCATGATGATACCGGAGCTACCAGAAGTAAACTGGAACTACTAAGTAGTTGTTTCGTCCTTCTTTCGTTCTTCTTTTATTATTTCGTTCTTCTTTCGTCTTCTTTCCTTCTATCGTCCTGATGCTTTCCTTCTTTCGTTCTTCTTTCGTCTTCTTTCCTTCTATCGTCCTGATGCTTTCCTTCTTTCGTTATTTACTTCTTTCGTTATTTACTTCTTCTTTCGTCATCTTTCTTTCTATCGTCCTGATGCTTTCCTTCTTTCGTCCTTCTTTCGTCATCTTTCCTTCTATCGTTCTGTCGCTTTCCTTCTTTCGTCCTTCTTTCGTTCTTCTTTCGTTATTTCCTTGTTCTTTCGTCATCTTTCCTTCTATCGTTCTGATGCTTTCCTTCTTTCGTCTGTTTATCGTCCTTCTTTCGTTCTTTCGTTCTTCTTTCGTCATCTTTCCTTCTATCGTTCTGATGCTTTCTTTCTTTCGTCTTTCTATCGTCCTTATTTCGTCATCTTTCCTTCTATCATCCTGATGCTTTCCTTCTTTCGTCTTTCTATCGTCCTTCTTTCGTTCTTCTTTCCATTTTTCGTTTTTTAGAACCACCTAGTAGTACCGACGAAGTGCCAAAGTAGTACCAAACTCCTAGTAAAACTCACCGTAGACTCGAGAAGACTTTTCCTTTACACATACGCTTGTACCCGAAGCACCTTAAGAGTGGTACCGATTAAACGAGCCATCTAGAAGCTCCGCAAATCAATTAGAAATGAACGAAGTTGGCCAAGGTTGCGAAAACCCGTCGTTTCTGCGTATTAAAACGTTCTCACATACGATCGCTTTATCGCTTTAATAAATTTATAAACTGTCCGCGTCCAAACCGAGAAGTCGACGACCCGTCGTGGAATCTTTATTGAAACGCGCACACAATCGATTCAACCTTGAGCGATTTTTTTTTCTATCGATTCGAATCGATTGAGTCATCTCGTTGGTGGGCACCTTGTGGTAAATCGGTTTCGGAAGATCGAGTCGGTACTATTGTTATGTAAATTGGTATAGGTACTCGTATGCTCGAATCGATGAAATAGCACGTGTGTAATTTGCAGACTTTTTCCTCGTTGGTATCGAAGTTGGACCTGCCCGGTGATCTCCAGCCCGTGGAGTTTCTGGTGGATAGGACGTTGGCCTTCGAGGATTACGCCCGATTGAAGCCCTATCAGGTAATGTATGCGAGTTGAATAATTGATTTCTCCAGGTCCTTTACCCCAATTTCCTATGATATGATGAAGGGACGAAGTTCCTTTGGTCTTCTAAAAGAACTGTCGAGACCTGCCAATTTTTGCTGTGGCTGTTGCTGTGGCTGTTGCTTTTGTTCTTGGTGTTGCTGTTGTTGTTGCTCTTGCTGATGCTGTTGCTCTTGCTGTTGCTCTTGATGTTGCTGTTGCTCTTGCTGTTGCTCTTGCTGTTGCTCTTGCTGTTGCTCTTGCTGTTGCTCTTGCTGTTGCTCTTGCTGTTGCTCTTGCTGTTGCTCTTGCTGTTGCTCTTGCTGTTGCTCTTGCTGTTGCTCTTGCTGTTGCTCTTGCTGTTGCTCTTGCTGTTGCTCTTGCTGTTGCTCTTGCTGTTGCTCTTGCTGTTGCTCTTGCTCCTGTCCGTTTTTTTATTTAAGGAAATCTCAGGCCTTTAAAATTATTGGAAAGCACGATTGTATAGACCCTACATCGACCCTGGTATATCGTGAAGTAATGACGAAATGCATGCATAATGTATAGCAGGATTAATAATCCATCCGGGCGATTCGTACGGACGCCTACGTTTTCGTATTAAATGCGATATAAATCGTGAATTGCCGAGCCGGAGCCGGCTCGGATGTATGCATACCGGAATCTGGGTCTGCCTCGTTAAAATGGACGGATTAATGGGCGGTTAATTACTTGCATGTGCACGTTTACCGTTAACTTTCTTCTTTTCTCGTTTCTATGTTGCTCTCTTCGTAGGTATATACGCGTAGGTACATATAGGATATGTTGGTGTGGAATCTTATTTGTAAAAGCCTTGAAATTATCGACAAATCGCGGGAACAATTTCTGTGTTCAAAGCTAGATTCGAGTACTAGGTCCAAGATAGCTGGTCAATTGAGGCAATGAAATGGTCTATTCTCCATTCAGATCTTCACTTCGAGCACTAGGTGTCAGATCCTACGTCAATGAAGGCCATGAAATGGTCTATTCTCCATTCAGATCTTCACTTCGAGCACTAGGTCTCAGATGCCAGGTCAATTGAAGCCATGAAATGGTCTATTCTCCAATCATATCTTCATTTCAAGCACTAGATCTCGGATGCCAGGTCAATTGAAGCCATGAAATGGTCTATTCTCCAATCAGATCTTCATTTCAAGCACTAGATCTCGGATGCCAGGTCAATTGAAGCCATGAAATGGTCTATTCTCCAATCATATCTTCATTTCAAGCACTAGATCTCGGATGCCAGGTCAATTGAAGCCATGAAATGGTCTATTCTCCAATCAGATCTTCATTTCAAGCACTAGATCTCGGATGCCAGGTCAATTGAAGCCATGAAATGGTCTATTCTCCAATCAGATCTTCATTTCAAGCACTAGGTCTCAGATGCTAGGTCAATTGAGGCCATAAAATGGTTCATTCTCCATTCAGATCTTCACGTCGAGCACTAGATCTCAGATCCTACGTCAATGAAGGCCATGAAATGGTCCATTCTCTATTCAGATCTTCACTTCGATCACTGGATCCTAGAAGCCCGGTCAATTGAGGCCATCGAAAGGTCCATTCTTTGTTCGGATCTCTCTTTTAATCTCTCCCATTCCATCTTCACTTGCATAAACATTCCCAAAGGGAAAGACAAATTAAGTTCCAAGCCAGTTTTATCACGTGCAACAGATCTCCCGGAACAATCCATCATCAATCAACTTGGCAGGGTTCTTCTTGCTAAGTACCTACTCCACTCATATATAACAATCCCTCCGCCAATGTCTCTACACTCTTTAAATACTCCACCAGGTCCTCTACCAGTTTCCCAACCATCTCCTCCAGATCCTAGGTCTCTTCCTTTCGCCTTCTTCGACCTGTCTCTATTATCAATCTCCTCCAGGTCTCTTCCTTTCGCCTTCTTCGACCTATCTCTATTATCAATCACCTCCAGGTCTCTTCCTTTCGCCTTCTTCGACCTGTCTCTATTATCAACCTCCTCCAGGTCTCTTCCTTTCGCCTTCCTCGACCTGTCTCTATTATCAATCACCTCCAGGTCTCTTCCTTTCGCCTTCCTCGACCCATCTCCTCTGATCGCTCGACATTAAGTGGGCGCGTTGGTTCCAGAAGTGGGACGCCGCGTTGCCGGGCTTGAGGGCCTATCCCGAAGTCGAGGCGGCGGTGAAACGTTGGACGGAACTGCAGGACGGCCAGAGCATCCTGCTGACGACGCCGAGCGTCCTCTTGGGCTACAGGGTGGAGGTGTACCGGGCCGAGGGCACCACGCAATGGTATACGGCTGTGATAATCGGCTACAACGAAGCTACTAGGGTGAGTTGGGATGTTTGAGGTTTTCTGGATTTTCCGGATTTTCTGGAATAGCGGATAGGCGGCGGCATCTCCCCGCCGCTCTGACCTCGGTTTAGGAAATTTATTTTCGTGCCGGCGAGTTCCGCATATACACGACGTTGTTTGCATAATTTTCGAAGCGGAGAGCGAGCGAGTTGTCGGGAAACTGTGTTTCGCGTTCGCCGCCTCCGCGCGCGCCCGCCCCCGCCCCCTCGGAGGCGGTCTGGCCGGCGGTACGGGGTCGATTCGAGCTATTTTTAGAAGGGAAATTTTTAATTGTATTATATTTGTTCGTTCGTACTTTGTTTGGCGTGTATCTGGGGAACGGTAGGTTCAGGAGGAAAATGTTTCGGATAAAAGTTGTAGAATGATTCGTTTGCTTTAAAAAAGCTTAATGGGGTTTTATCGTATCTCGAGATTTTTTGGAGATATTTAAAAGAGAATTGTTTATTATCAACATAATTAGATAATGAACGTTGAACAAACTAAGAAATTGATTATCTAGGTAAATAGTGGGTTTAGAGAAAAAAGTTTCCAGCAAAAGCTGTAGAGAATTTTAATATCTTTAAAAAAGCTTAATGGAGTTTTATCGTACCTCGATGACTTTTCGAGATATTAAAGAGAATTGTTTATTATCTGAAAAATTAGTGAATGAACGTTGAACAAACTTTGAAGTTCATTATTACGGTAAATAGTGGGGTTAGAGAAAAAAGTTTCCTGCAAAAGTTATAGAGAATTTTAATATCTTTAAAAAAGTTTTATGGAGTTTTATCGTATCTCGATGACTTTTCGAGATATTAAAGATAATTGTTTATTATCTACATATTTAGTGAATGAACGTTGAACAAACTTTGAAATTGATTATCTAGGTAAATAGAGGGATTAGAGAAAAAAGTTTCATGCAAAAGTTGTAGGGAATTTTAATATCTTCAAAAAAGCTTAACGGAGTTTTATCGTATCTCGATAACTTTTCGAGATATTAAGTAATTTCAATGCGTCATGGAACGAGCGTTTGACAAACATTAAAATTTCATACAGTTTGTTAATAATTACAAAAAAAACAACCCCCCCGGTTCGATCGAACTTCCCGATCGGTTTCGATTCAAGGTTGCGCCCAATATACAGAAAACGAAAACTCCCGAAACTCCCTCGGGCCGAATGTATTCCGCGAAAAAATGTCGAAAAAAAAAACAACCAGCCGAGCAAAGTCTGGCGAGATGTAAAGCAGACATAAATTCCCGTTTCGCAACTCGCTCGCAACTCGCAACTCCCGCCGAGAAGAGTTTTCCGCAGTCGAATTCATTAGGAAAGTTTCCGGGGGGCGGGCCGAGGGGGGCGTCGGAAAAACTTCGCTCGCCCGGACGCCGCGGCGAAATCGCGCTATCAAACTTTGTTTTAATGGAGATAGTTGCGGAGTTTGCCGGAGTTTCCAGAGTTGCGGGACGAGAGTGAGTTCAGAGTCACGGGCGGGGAAAAGGGCGGAAGTTTTCCCGTCTCCTCTTACTCCGTCATCCAGTTATATGGAAGTTTGTCAAATCTCGTTTGTTTTGTCGAAAATTCGCCTATGGAATGGTCTATGGAATACCTATAAGGTCATTAGAGTGGAGTTGACTTGATAAATGGCGACAAAAGGGGGTCAAGTTTTAGCACAATTTCCCTAGATTTGGGTATTTTTTCGTAAATACACTGTTGCCAAGTTTAATGAGTTATTTAAGGGGTCATTTGTAAGTACAGTGTTGGAGAGTTTTAGTGCAATTTCCCTAGATTTGGGTATTTTTTCGTAAATACACTGTTGCCAAGTTTAATGAGTTATTTAAGGGGTCATTTGTAAGTACAGTGTTGGAGAGTTTTAGTGCAATTTCCCTAGATTTAGGTATTTTTCATTAATACAGTGTTGACAAGTTTAAGAAAATATCATTACATTTAGGGATTATTTGAAAATACAATTTTGGCGAGTCTAGTTCAATTTCTCTCGAGTTATTTTTTTTTCAAAATATACTGTTGTCAAGTTTAATAAGCTATACATATATTCGGGATGATTTGAAAGCAAAGTGTTGCTGAGATTTAGTGCAATTTCCCTAGATTTAGGAATTTTTTTCGTAAATGCAGTATTGCCATATTTAATACAGTTTAATACAGTGTTGCCAAGTTCAGCATAATTTCGCTATATTCAGATTTTTTGCAAATACAATATTGTTAAATTTAGTACAATTTCCCTATACAGGGTGTTAATTAATTGAGTGCCGATACTTCGAGATTTGAATATTTGGATGATTTTAAGAAGAAAAGCTTATATCAATGTATGTCGTAATTCTCTTAGTTTTCGAGCTACAGGGTGTTATAATTTTAGAAAAAATCATAATGTTCCTATTACTCCGAATATTTGTATGAAATTCAAATTTTTTAACACCCTGTAGCTCGAAAACTAAGAGATTCAGGACATGTATCGATAAAAACTTTTCTTCTTAAAATCACCCAAATATTCACCTCCTAAAGCATCGACACTCGATTAATTAACACCATGTATAATAACCGATGGCAATTCGTCCTTTTTTTTTTACCTTCCAGGACCTGACAGTGACGGACGATACGGTCCTGGAGGAGCACAACGTGGACCCGACATTGGTCCAAATGCGCCTCATCGGCGACGGTGGTGAGTTTTATTATTTTATTATTTTTTTTTTTAACTTCATCATAAACTTCATCACAAACTTCGCCATGTAATCCATCCATATAATTAACCTGCATTACGTCCGATTAAACTTTTCCCCTCTCTCTCCATCCACATATACAGGGTGTCCAGAAAATAATTCGGGAGAGTATAAATGACATCAAAATAAGGGTATATCTTCATATAAATTTTGTTAATTCGAGCCCCCATTTTTGAGCTAGATATTATTTTCATCCCATGTATAACTTGGAAATAAAACCTAAAAATAAGTTTTAAATTTTCGACTTTAAAGGCCTCTAGCTCAAAAATGGGGGCTCAAATTAACAAAATTTACATGAAGTTGTACCCTTATTTTGATGTCATCTATACGCTCCCGAATTATCGACATCTATTTTCTGCACACCCTGTATAAAAACCGCGAAACTCCGAGCAAAGTCCAGTTCGATTGCGTCGACAGAAAAGGAAAACGCCTAACCGCATTAATAAAACTTCGACGTTATGATGGAAAAACTCGTCGAGGAAAATCTATTGGAAAAGTTAAGTTATAAAAACTTGGGGGTTCGAGCGAAACTCGCAAGGAACTAATTTAAAGCGCGGAAGAAGTGGGAAAAGTTTCGTCCGCTCGCGGTGTATACACCGAGAGGGATGAATATTAAAAGTAAAGTATCCCGGGAAAGTTTCGCTCGAGTAAACGTCGGGGGGGGCGGATGCTCGACCGGAATAATTGCATGAAAGAAGTTGGGTTTGTTTTCGTGAAAACTTTCCGTAACAACTTGCCGTGTTGTTTTTGAAATCGTAGGGTCGATTATGTCGTTGTGAAAGGAGTTGTGTTTTCGGTTTTCGTTTTTTTTTTTTCATTACTTTCGAGTTCTGTAGATGTATCGATGATGGGTGAATTTGGAAGGAAAGTTTTGGAGAATGTTGTAAACTTTAAAAAATTAGTCAAGTTTTTGGTTTAAACTTGAAATGTTTCGTTATTCGTGCGTTTAGTGAGCGAACGTTGAATAAACTTTAAAATTTTTATATCTCTGTAACTGTAAAGTTTAGAAAAAAAAGTTTCATATAAACATCGTAGAGCATTTTATTATCTTTAACTTAGTCTAATACAAGTTTGTCGTATCTCAATAATATTTCGAGATATTTAACAAAATTTACCAGAATCAACACACTCAACGAACGAATAACGTTGAATAAACATTGAAATTTTTATATCTCAGTAACTTTAAAGTTTAGAAAAAAAAGTTTCGTATAAAAATCGTAGAGCATTTTATTATCTTTAACTTAGTCTAATACAAGTTTGTCGTATCTCAATAATATTTCGAGATATTTAACAAAATTTACCAGAATCTACACACTCAACGAACGAATAACGTTGAATAAACATTGAAATTTTTATATATCAGTAACTTTAACGTTTAGAAAAAAAAGTTTCATATAAAAATCGTAGAGCATCTTATTACCTTTAAGTTTGTCAAATAGAATTTTATCATATCTCAATAATCTTTCGAGATATTTAACAAAATTTACCAACATCCACACACTCAACGAACGAACGTTGGATAAACTTTGAAATAATATATCTCGGTAACTTGAAAGTTTAGAAAAAAAAGTTTTAGATAAAAATCGTAAAACATCTTATTACCTTTAACTTACTCTAATAGAATTTTATCGTATCTCAATAATCTTTCGAGATATTAAACAAAATTTACCAGCATCAACACACTTAACGAACTAACGTTGAATAAACTATATTTTTACAGTCGTCGAATCGATCATGCGCGGCGAAGAAGTTGGAATAACGCCCAGAAGATCCAGATCATCCGTTTTTCCACAAAACGAAACACCGGTAAGTACCCGAACACCCTGAATATGTTCCCCATTAAATAAATAAATAATCAATATAAAAACAAAGACTTACAAACTTCCATTAGTCTCGTAAACGAAGGAAAAAGAAAGAGTGATATTGTTAGAGAATCGCAACTTTCTCACTCTAACCACTGCTATTTGAATAATCGTTCTTTGTTGACAGTTGACAGTTTTTTCGTTTAAAGAACGAGCCATTGTCAATTTCATCAACTTTAAATTTGACAAATAAATGTCAGAGACAAAAAACCATAGCAACAATTAATTGACACATTTTATAGTACGTTCAGAATTAATTTTTAAATGTATCAATATGCTCGGGGGTTAAAACTAAATTGGTCTTCACGTGAATACGCGTTATTAAAATCTTTTCAAATTTGGGGGTTGACTTAGAATGAAATTACCTTTAAAACGAGGTGTCACTTGATCCCCGTTTTCCATAAGAAAAAAAGATTCAAAATAGCGCCTAACTGTCATTTTGAAAGTTTCAACTGTCATTTCTACGTCAAAAAACAGTATTTTTACTCCAATATAAACACCCCAAATTGCGCAACAAAAGCTCTTACCATACATTCAAAAGTTAAAGGGGGTGCAACGGACTTTTGGTCCTCACTGTATATATCATGGATTGCTACAATCAATTACTCTATTAGAAACCATCGAGAGTGTGTTTTCCTATAGATATGCAAATGACTCCCGTCTCTTTTTTTCGATTCGATAAAGGACGAACGAAGAGAGAAAGATATAAATCGGTCGAATAGGATTAGTCATGCGTGTACGGTTAACAGATGACTAGTCAAGTGTTCGAGAACGTTTTCTACCTGTTTCGCCTTTATTGCTTTTTTTTTTCGAAGAATCGGAGAGGTCGGAAAGTTTAGATTAGACGGGTGTCGAGAATCCATTCGCCCTGTATGTTCCCCTTTAATAAACCGGTCGAAATTCGATGCGTTCGGAACGGTATAGTTAGAGGAAATTTGAATTTCCTCTTACGATAAATTCTTCAGTAAAACTATTCACCAGTTGATTCCTCTCCACAAGATTCTTCTCTATTAAATTCTTCTTCAGCTAATTTTTCTCCAGAAAACTATTCACCAGCTGATTCCTCTCCACAAGATTCTTCTTCAGTACATTTTTTTTCAGTAAACTTTTCTCCAGTTAAATACTCTTCGGTCAATTATCTTCTCCAGTTGATTCTTCTCCAGTAAACTATTCACCAACTGATTTATCTCCAGTTGATTCCTCTTCGCTAGATTCTTCATCAGTAGATTTTTTTCAGTAAAATTTTCTCCTATTAAATAAATACTCTCAGGTAAATTCTTCTCAAGAAAACTATTCTCCAGCTGATTTTCGTCCATTAAATTCTTCTCCAGTTGATTCTTTTCCAGCAAATTCTTCTCCAAAACACTATTCACCAACTGATTCCTCTCCAGTTGATTACCCTTCACTAGATTCTTCTTCAGTACATTTTTACTCTTAGTAAACTTTTCAGCAGCTAAATACTTTTCGGTAAATTCTTCTCGAGAAAACTATTCTCCAGTTGATTACCCTCTATTAAATTCGTCTCTATTAAATTCTTCTCCAATAGATTTTTCTCTATGAAATTCACGTCCAGTTGATTCCTCTCCATTTTAAATTCTTGTTCAGTAGATTCTTCTCTAGGAATCTCGTCCATAGTAAATTCTATTCCAAAAAACTATTCTCAATTTGATTCCTCCCCATTAAATTCTTCTTCTTCAATTGATTTATCTGCATCAGTAGATTTTTCTTCAGTAAACTTTTCTCCGTTTGATTCCTCTCTATAAAATTCTCGTCCAGTTGATTCCTCTCCATTTTAAATTCTTATACAGTAGATTCTTCACCAGAAATCTCTTTCCCAGTAAAATTTTCTCCGGAAAACTATTCTCCCATAGATGCATTCTTTTTTAATTGCTTCATTTCCAGTAGATGCCTTCTTCGGTTCACTTTTCTCTAGTAATTTTTTATCCGTTAGATTCTTCTCCAGTTAATTCTCCTCCAATTGATTCTCCTCCGATAGATCATCCTCTTGTTAAACCTGGTTCCCTTCCGAATAGCGGCAACAGCGCGTTTATTCCGTCCGGCAGTCGACCGCCTCCTCCCCCCCGCCCCCTCGTGGAGTTTAAATAGGTCTATATAATGCATCGGAATCGACATAGCGATAGGGCGGCTTGATTTATCTACCTACGCGCCAACACGCGCCCGTCCCGGGCGCGCCCCGGTCGAGACTCGGCTCCGGCTCTTCGACCTCTAAGCGACATTGCATCGGCGCTTTGGAAGGGGGGTGATGAAGGGAGCGCGGGCCGGAGGGCGGGCGCGTATCGGTTTCTCTTTCCGGGCCAGGAAAAATGTAGAGGAAAAACGACGGAAACAACAACAACAACAACAAACAAAAGCTTGTCGTCTCGTCGATTGAAGTGTGCGTGTAAACTCTAAATAGATTCTCCATAAACAGTATACTCTCGAGCTCATTTCTCCCAAGTGGAGTCTTCATCAGTATTTTCCTTTTCAGTCAATTATTCTCGCTTGGATTCTTCGTCGACAGTTTTCTCTTCAACACATTCATTATCAACAATTTCCTCTACAAATAATACTTCTCAAACGGATTCATCATCAACAGTTTCCTCTCAAACACGTTCTTCTCTAATAGACTGTTCATCGACAATTTCCTCTTAAACCAATTATTCTCACATGGATTCTTTATCAACAGTTTCCTCTTCAACGAATTCATTATCAACAATTTCCTCTCAAGCCAATTATTCACAAATGGATTGTTCATCGACAATTTCGTCGTCAGCACATTCCTCGCTAACAATTTCCTCTACAACTGATTCTTCTCATACTGATTCTTCATCAATAGTTTCCTCTCGATCACGTTCTTCTCTAATTGACTGTTCATCGACAATTTCCTCTTAAACCAATTATTCTCACATGGATTCTTTATCAACAGTTTCCTCTTCAACGAATTCATTATCAACAATTTCGTCGTCAGCACATTCCTCGCTAACAATTTCCTCTACAATTGATTCTTCTCTAATAGACTCTTCATCGATAATTTCCTCTCGAACACGTTCTTCTCTAATAGACTGTTCATCGACAATTTCGTCGTCAGCACATTCCTCGTCAACAATTTTCTTTACAATTGATTCTTCTCTAATAGACTCTTCATCGACAATTTCCACTCGAACACGTTCTTCTCTAATAAACTGTTCATCGACAATTTCTTCTTAAGCCAATTATTCTCACATGGATTCTTTATCAATAGTTTCCTCTTCAACACATTCATTATCAGCAATTTTCTCCCGATCCAATTCGTTTCAAAAGGATTCTTCATAGACAATTTCGTCGTCAGCACATTCCTCGCCAACAATTTCCTCTACATATGATTTTCCTCATACTGATTCGTCATCAATAGTTCAAACGGATTTTTCATCGATAGCTTCCTCTCGATCACATTTTTCTCTAACAGACTCTTCATCGACAATTTCCTCTCGAGCCAATTCTCAAACGGATTCTTCATCGATAGCTTCCTCTCGATCACATTTTCCTCCAACAGACTCTCCATCGACAATTCCCTCTCCGGCACCATCTCCTCCACCAGCTGCAGTAAAAATACACCCCCGGAGGATCCTTCTCCGCTTTCTCCAGCCACCCCGTTTCCTTCGCATGTAGGCCATCGGCTCGCCCTTTATCCAATTCTCCCGCTCGTCCGAATTCCTTCTCGTTCCGTTCGCTCCGTTTTCGGAGCGAAACCGGGCGCGATGACGTAGGGTCAAGGCCCTCTCGGCGATTCGAGAGAACGCAGCAGGTAGATTACGTGCGGTGCAACTGACCGGCTTGCATTCGTCGCGTACGCGGGGCGAAAAGGAGCCCGAAACGAAAACGACGAGTGGAAGAGACGGAAAAAAAGGGACGCACGAATCGACCGTTTCGTGTACTTGCAGGGAAAGGGAGGCGAGGGGAGAGAGAGAGAGAGAGGGCCGTGGGGCTCGTCGAAGAGAGTTTAAAGCCGATGGACTCGAACGGGCGAGCGCTCGAGCAGGGAGGATGCGTTTGGTGGTTGTATGTAAAAAGGGTTTTGTACTTTGATTGGTATAAATTGTTGTGCAAGCGTTTCAGGTAGAGAGGAAAGAAGAAGCTTCTTTGTAAAGATTAGGGGGTGGATAATGCGCTGGAGAAGTAAACTGTTGAAGGTGATTAGATCTAGATCATCCTACCGCTAGGGTTACTCTTTGTGGATTAGTAACGTAAGAACCTTTGGAAGAACACGTTATGGCTCTCCTCAGACGGAGAAACTAAAATGAAACTTTAGTTGCTAGGAAAGTAGGAAACTGGGCGACTTGAGCAACTGAAGTTGTTGTTTATACTCACACGAAGCAATTTAAAATAATAAAAATCGCTCAATCTAAGAAGTGAAAAATCGACAATGAACATGTCTGCTTCCGGCAGTGATGAGGAAATGCTGATGATTTATTATAAATCCTTTGTAGAGGTTAGCAGACATTCGAGTTGGGTTCAAATGATGAAAGTTCTGAAAACTCGAGGTAGTGACCTTAAGGAAGAGCGTTTGGTGTTATTTGCACTTATCTTTAGATCACCTCGATAGCTCCACGTTGGTCCAATTAGTCCATAGACCTATTAACTATGGACGCGGTTTAGACAAAGAGGTAGTGTTGTCGATGAATGAGAGAGATGCAGCTAGTTTGGACAAATGGTAATGAGAGATTGGACAATGCATTAGCCAATAGTAAGAAAGAAAAAGACCACGTGAGTTACGTTTTCAGAAATGCAAGGTAGTTGGGGTAGAGGAGGGTAGATTATGGTAGAATAGGGTTGAGGATTTATAATTTTTTTACCGAGCAAAATGCATTTTTCAGCTGAGCCTAAATTCCCACACATTTGCAAATACAGTTCTTATTTTGTATTGTTATTTGGAACCTCCTACCTATTAGCCTGTACAGATTTCGCAATTTAAGACCTAGCTGTTTTCTCTTGTAAAAAATATGTTTCTTCCAGGTCATTCTTCTGTCCAAGTGAATACCAAGATAAAAACAATATTTAAATATTAAGCGTATAAATAATTTAACAGATTAATCGCCTTTTTCCACACACCCTGTATATATTTTATATATTTTTTGGTCCCGCCTACTTTTAGCCCAAACTAGCTCCATCTCTCACGGACCTCTCTCTCTATCATTGGGAACGCTGAATAACCTCAAAATAACGATAGTGCCGCGTCCATACTTAATAGGTCTATGAATTAGTCCAAACAACGAAACATCTACTTGATTCGTCTTAAAGTCATCCTCACGGGTATCGTAGGATTTATCTTTCCCAAACCTACCAACGATGGTATACAAAGCAAAACGGATTTCGCCAAGTTTCAAGGGTTGATGAAATCTTCGAAACCGTCTTCCAGCGCTCCACCGCGTCTCCCAATCCTGCTTCTTCGCTAGGGTACGGTGGGATCCAACATACAACCAAACCACCAAGAGTCATCTTCGAAATCGTCTTCCAACGCTCCACCGCGTCTCTCATTCCCGCTTCTAAGTTGGACTATGATTCCACTAGAAACCAAACCACCACGGGACATCTTCGAAACCGTCTTCCAGCGCTCCACCACGTCCCCCAATCCCGCTTCCCCCTTAGAATACGGTAGAATTCCACTTAAAACCGCACCACCGAGGGTCACCTTCGAAACCGTCCTCCAGCGCTCCACCGCGTCCCTCGATCGGGCTTCCCCGAGCTTTCCCGCTTCCCGCCGGCTCCGAGCCACCCTCGACGGGCGGGGGGCGCGCCTGCGCCCCGCCTCTCCTCCGTCGATAGCGCAAGCGAGAATCGGAGAATCGGCGAGTGCACCGGGCGCAATCGGCACGCTTCGTGTTTTCGCCGTTCTCCGCTCATATCGCGCGCCTTTTCCCGCGTGTATACCGTTCTGTGCGTGCGTGTGCATGTGTTTGAAATGTTTGCGTGTGTGCTCGCCTTTTCGGGCGACCCGACGGGGCTTGTCTGCAGCGTCTAGTCCACTCCAGTGACGCGCCCGCGTTTCCTTTGTTCGCACACGAGCTCGCGCGTTTCCGACAATATACTGCAATTATTATACTCTTTCTTGTCTTTAAGTTGGTCGGAGTTAGCGGTGGATGCGTTTCGTTCGGATTGTTTGATTTGTGCGAGATTTGTGCGAGTTTGATTCGTAGATAGTGTTGTTTGTTGTGGGTGAGGATCCGCTGTTGTTGTGAGTGTTGTTTGGAAGTAAGTTGGTTTTGTTTAAAGCGGGGGAAAAATGGCGACGTACAGGTGTTTGGGAGATGCGACAAAATGGCCGAACGAGAGCTGGTTGTTGGGTCTAGAAGGCGATGGATTTCGCGTTTTGCAAAATGGCGCTACGTTCGGGTTTCTCTTTCGAGTCGATGCGGAACGGGTTTCCTTATATGTGATTAAGGCCGTATTTGGTGATTCGATGGTCGGTCGAGAGAGGATGTTTGTTTTTTTTTAATCGTAATTCTCGGGGATAAAAAAGAAACCTGACATAACCGGTCGGTTCGCTCGGATGCTTGGCTGAACTGAAACTAAACCGATCGGTGTGTGGATTTTCCTTTGTCGGGCTGTAGAGTAAATTGCGCTGTAATCTACCGGCCTTTTTCGGTATTCCCGATTGATTTTGCTGCGTAATTAATATACCTTTCCGGTCGGTTATATTTTTCTTTATGGTATTTAATGGAAACTTCGCGACCTTCTGCATCTGTAATGACACTGTAATTATATCTAAGTCTGACTTAAATGTGTGATCTACTTATGATTGGAATATGTTGCACCATGTTCAAAAAATGCTATTTTACCTACGATTCATTTTAACTTAGATAACAATTGGCAATGTAGCAATATTTTTGAAAAACTTGAAAAGCAGGAGATAATTGTCATTTTAAATATCAAAATAACCTATTACATAGTTGTTGGGGCAAGTGAAAAAATATCAAAAGAAGAAGAAGTTGTGGTTTTAACATATCATGTAACCTGTAACCTAGAAATTAGTACATTCATAATTAAATTCTGGTTAAATTTAAATAATTGTAGGGACGTTCTTTTTTGCAGACGAAACCTTTGAAAAAATTCTTCATCCGAGATTGTTTCGAAATAATTAGTTTTTATTCGAATTTGTCGTTGCATAGGAACATCTACCACATTAATTTCTTCCTTTACATCATCTATTATATCTACATTAACCACAATATTTATATCTGCATTTATATCCATAATTTTACAACAGTCCCGACAATTCTCTAATTTTTAATTTTTAAGGCTAACATTTTCGTCTTAAATCGTAGAAATCGACAACCTAGGATCTGTGATCGATTCGTATCATAGGAAAGAGATTTTTAGTTGCTGCAACTGTAAAACATTGATTTTAAACTTAGGACTGACTTAGGATAGGAATCCATCCTAGGATGCTTTGGTACAACTGGGCATTATTCCATCACCAGCGATCCTATCTTATCCCAAGCTATTTCATCTTATCCCAAGCTATCTCATGTTATCCCAAACGTTCCTATCTTATCTCAATCCTTTCTATCTTAGACTTAGGTCTGACTTAAGATAGGAATTCATCCTAAGGATGCTTTGGTGCAACTAGGCATAAACTCCATAATAGGTATTAACTCTTATCAACAACTTTTCACAAAACATTATAATCATCTGTTAAATCATCTTTATTGGTGCAAATTTTAAAGTTATTAACGCACATTTCAATCGAGTGAGCTATGACAAAGACATTTTTAACATTGACCAAGCACTGGATTCGAAAATGTAATCAACAAAATGGAATGTTATGTATCTAAATGGAATAGAAAAAATGCAATATTAACGATTTAATTTAACCTATATTGAAAAACCCTTAACAACAAACTTTCTCATCATAAACGCCTTATATTTACATTATTAATTTCCTATGTTGCCAACTGTCATTACACCAATCTTCTGTCTTTTCCTTCTAATCTAACTGATGATGGCGAGAAAATAGACAAGGACGAAATTGCACAACCATCATCCATCTCGTTTCGGGAATTTTCATCTGGGAAAACCGGTTTTAACATGCGAAACGTTTTCCTTTAATACCTACCGAAATGTATTCGTCACTTTACTCCCTGCATCCCGTTTTCTTTCTCTCTTCCTCCCGCCCTACCGGGCTCCTTCTAACGCCGCATCGGGAAATTTTATTACTTTTTACGTACCCTAACGGTATGCCGGAAAATTCGGATTTCCTTCGAACGTGACCTGGATACGGTGAAAACACCGTTGAAACATTTGATATCGTCTTATTCTGTATCATTAAGCTACTCAGTCTATTCGGTTTAACATTTGATATCGATGACAAATCGAGGAAAGACGTTTGACATTTGATATTTGACGTATGACGTTTGAGAGGACGATTTATCAAAATTATCGCGCTCGAATAGACGCAGCGGAGCAAACGAGGCGAAAACGGGAAAAGTCTTTTGGCGAAGCGCCGGCGAAAAGGGACCGGGGGATAATTAGATTTTCCGGGGTCGTGTGTACGAAACCGAAAAGTAAAAAAAAAATATATATAAACGGAAATAATTCGTTTCCCCGTGCCTACGAAAGCGTTATGAGAGTAACGAGAATCGATTACTTTTTTTTTTCCTTTGCGTCGTTTGTTTTTTTATTCGTTTTTTGTTTTTCTTTTGTTGGCAGAATCGCTTCGTCAGAGGATCGCCGAGCGGCATCGATTCGAGACGGTACGGTTGCAGAACGACCGGGATAACTCCCGATACTCCTGATAAAGGTAACAACAATCATCCATCTTTATTATCTTAAATTATCCTAATAACAGTTATACATCAATGAAGTTAGTTAACCACCTGAAGTTAGGTAACGCCGGGTAATCAGTTTGACAATTGTCAGTTGACCCTATTAGAGGTGCAGATTGAGCTCAAGCAGCGAGATAGAGCTACCACGCAAACAAACTCAAAAGATCTATACACCTTACTCCTGTTTTGATTGCAATATAGAGCCTAGGTGTGATAAAGACAACTTTCATTAATATCATATAAAGGAAAATGATAGAGTGATATTGTGTCATAGCTAGCAACTTGTCACTCTGCCAATTGTCATTTTATTAATCTTTCTTTGTTCAACACATGGAGATGGCCACGTTACCGTCTGAAGCAATTATCTAACAGTGCCTATTCTGTATAACATCTGTTACGTCGTCGTGCACATCAAGACACCCTGGGAGAGCTTCTTTTTCCGTCGTATCGGCCCTTTCTCTCTTTCTCTCCGTCTCTCCCGTCGAGTTTTTCCTATACCTAACGCTCTGACCTCTAATTGACCTTCGGGCTCGTTTCGTTCCGAGACCGTATAATCTAGATAGCGGGTCTCTTGTGCCGTAATTTCCACCAATTATCCTCCTATCTCTCTCTCTCTATACCGCCGCAACGACCGACTGTACGTCGTCGTAATTCATAAATTTAATCTCGACCATTTCCAACCAGCGAACGCCAACCGGTTGTTTGACCTCTATTTTTTTGCGACAACTCGACGTAAACACCGCCATATTTGACACACATGTCAGTTGTCGTACGTCAAACGTCTGTTTACGTACGTCAAATGTCGATTGTCATACGTCAAACGTCTGTTTACGTACGTCAAATGTCGATTGTCATACGTCAAACGTCAGTTTATGTACGTCAAACGTCATACTCTCATTCTAAACGACTCGTGACGCGTTTAGCGTTCGATGTATCGCGTTAAACCGGTGAAAGCGAGCCGGAATCGCTTTAAACCGGGTATATAAATTAGAAAGAATTTATGTGTAATGTAATAATACGTAATTTATTCGAAACCGACGGACCGGCAAGCGAGCGAACGAGCAATCGAGCAGTCAGGTCGACGGAAAGTGAAATAAATAAATTTACGAAAGCCTGCCATAATATCAAATCGTTTCGACCTTATTAAAATAAAAAAAAAAACGAATTTAAATTGTCTCAATTACCGCGAATTTGTGCTTGCCCTACGTTTATAATAGTGGGGGAAAGAGTGCATTATTCACGTGCACGCCGATTATTTCGTAATAATTGTTATGACAATTCATCGTAACAATTCATACCTTAACAACTAATCTCTTGACAATTCATCGTACCAATTCATAACTTAACAATTAATCTCTTGACAATTTATCGTATCAATTCATACCTTAACAATTAATCTCTTCACAATTCATCGTACCAATTCATACCTTAACAATTAATTTCTTGTCAATTCATCGTACCAATTCATACCTTAACAATTAATCTCTTGACAATTCATCGTACCAATTCATACCTTAACAATTAATTTCTTGACAATTCATCGTACCAATTCATACCTTAACAATTAATCTCTTGACAATTCATCATACCAATTCATAGCTTAATTATTTCCTCTTGATACTTCCTACCTTGATTATTGATTACAACAATTCATCCCTTGGCAATTCATTTAGTACGCCATACCTTGATAATTCATCTCTTGAGAATTCATCCCTTGATAATTCATCATACTAATGCATACCCTAATAAATTCATTACTTCGTCACTTGATAATTGATCCCTTGACAATACTTCATGCCTTGACCATTCATCATAACAATTGATCTTAATACTACAACTCATCATACCAATTAATACGTTAATAATTATTCATTTCAATACTTCATACCTTGATAATATTCATCATTTGATACACTTCGCCTTTTAAATCTACCTATATCCATTTGATAATTCATCCCTCGAGAGTACGAGGGCGATATCGATAGGAAAATTTTCGACGTTAAGAAATCTCTCTCGGGAATTCGGGTCGACTTTATTTATTACGTATTACGTATGCACAATGAATTATCTATCTCGATAACCTTTGGCCCTTTCTCGCTCGATTAAATGTCTCCACATTTCTCGGAAGGATGATAAATTAATTTGTAATGCACATCTCATCGACCACGTCAATTACCAAACAATCTTTCTGAGATGTCAACTTAACAATTCGTCCCCCATTTCATTGACGATTCATCCCTTGTTTGCATCTACTTCACGTGTCTCAACCTGATGACTTAGCTCAGAAAATATTAGACTAGTTTCGAAAGAAACCGAAAATCCCAAACGACGAAGCGATGACCTTTTCCAACAATCAATAGAGCTCTCTCTTCGTCTCTCTCTCTCCATCTCTACGGCATGTGCCTCTTCGGCTATTCAGACGCATCGGAACGCGAAATACAAAGAGAGGAGTAGGCGGTGCAAAGAGACTTACACACACACACACACGTACACACACACAACAATAACACAATGAAAATTCGCCGATGATTCGCAAACAATGCGATCGAGTTGGCGGGTTGCACGACCTGCAACTGACCAGTGGCGCAGACCAGAAGTGGGATTTCCTTCTTCATTTTTTACGTCCTGGAATGCTTCAGTATACACTTCTTTTGCTGCATCTTTTGCTTCATCAACTGCTTCGTTTGTTGCTTATTTTTTTTTCTTCATATAATGCCTTCATCTGCTTCGTCATTTCCATCATCTTCTGCTTCATTTATTGCTTCATAATTAACTTCTTAATGCTTCATCTACTGCTTTATCAGCTTCTTCTTTTGCTTCGTCATTTCTACGTCCTACAATACTTCATTATCCACTTCTTTTGCTGCATCCTCTGCTTCATCAACTGCTTCGTTTGTTGCTTAATTTTTTCATCATATAATGTCTTCATCTGCTTCTTCATAACCTGCATCTTCTGCTTCATTTATTGCTTTATAATTAACTTCATAATGCTTTATCTACTTCTTCTTTTGCTGCATATTTTACTTCATCATCTACACTCCAACTTGCGCTTAATCTTTTTATCTTCATCGCCATCTGCATCATTATCTTTCTGTTGGAATTTAATTCGATCGTTCGGTGATGCATGCTCGGAAGTTGTGATAAAGCGAACGATAAAAAAGAGAAACCGTTCCTTTTTTTTGGAGCGTTGTTTATGCAGGATAACACGAGCTAATCATTAATCGATAGCCCCCATTCCGTTTTAGGGTGCAGAGAAGAGAGAACACGGGGTGAATCGGAGGGTGCAAATGCGCTATTGTAGTTCGAGCGTAATAGTAGGCGAATCGCTCCGTTAAGCGAGTAGATAATTGGTCCTTGGAGGAATTTGGATAACTTGGTATATTCATCGTTTAACGATCTTATTTTCTTCTTTATTGCAATTGTCCTAAGTTTGGTGTTTAGTTGGTTCTCTCTTGCACCGGTTCTCCTTGTCACTACTTCCCCCCCACTCTCTTCACTCGCCCCTGCTCCCCGCTTGTTCGCTGTCGCATAAATATGCATTCGTCCTGGCGTATCCGAAATGAATAATTCATGGCCGTTTGATTGGTAAACAAATGTATGCGAGCGCTTCGGAATTGCAGAACTGCGACCGGTCGTGTTCCAGGACCGGAACGGTATACACACACACACACACACACAGTTAATAAATCGATTATGCTGTTATGTAATGAGCAAAAGAATGCGGGTGGATAACGACGATCCTTCGAACCGGCGAGGATTTGGATTTGGTATGTTTGTTTTTTTTTTTTTGATCGAAGAAGGCTTCTTGGTGCTTTGAATTAGCGTGGTTATCCTGCTGGTGGGTAACAAATTAGTTTGTTCTTTTGGTAGATATGAGAGACTATGTTGTTTTTGTGCTTTGGATTTAAGGGGAGTTGGTTTGTTGCTTAGAAGTTATAGGGAATTAAAGTGGTTCTTCGTTCTTCTAGCTGGTGGAGAAATAGGTTTGTTCCTTTGAACTTGTGAGGAATTAAAATGGTTCTTCTAGCTGGTGGGGAAATTGGTTTGTTTCTTTGAACTTGTGAGGAATTAAAATGGTTCTTCTAGCTGGTGGGGAAATTGGTTGGTTTCTTTGAACTTGTGAGGAATTAAAATGGTTCTTCTAGCTGGTGGGGAAATAGATTGGTTTCTTTGAACTTGTGAGGAATTAAAATGGTTCTTTTAGCTGGTGGAGAAATAGGTTTGTTTCTTTGAACTTGTGAGGAATTAAAATGGTTCTCCTAGCTGGTGGGGAATTGATTTGTTCCCTAGAAGCTATGGGGAATTAAAGTGGTTCTTTCAGCTGGTGGGGAAATTGGTTTGTTCCTTTGGACTTGTGAGGAATTAAAGTGTTTTTTTGTAGCTGGTGGGGAAATCGGTTTGTTCGTTTGAACTTGCAATGATTTAAAGTGGTTCTTCTAGCTAGTGGGGAAATTGGTTTGTTCCTTTGAACTAGCAAGGAATTAAAGTGTTTTTTTGTAGCTGGTGGGGAAATCGGTTTGTTCTTTTGAACTAGCAATGAATTAATGTAGGTTTAAGCTGGTGGGGAATTGATTGCATGGAATAAATTCGATCCTTGATGTTAATGGAATAATATTTATCGAATTCCAATTGCGGAATAACAATTACAAATGGTAACCTTGGTACGTTACTCACGGTTTCGCGATGCGATGAGAAAGAGAGAGAGAAAAAAAAATTGTTATTCCATTATCGTATAGAATGCACAGTTACCGATTTGTTTGCACGAACATTTTAACGTGGATTTTTCAATAATAATTAACAACCCCTAGTTCTTTTTTAATAATAATTAAATTCGCGTCGTACGTTCGATATACATTTCAAAGATCGTTAATTCGCTCGAATTGAAAAAAAAATAGCGTAATAATAACAGTGGGTATCGAGAACTGGTTCTCTACCGGCGAGTACGAAAGAGTCGGGTGAAAAGAACCGCATTCCTCGCCTTGATTATTCCACATGTTCGAAATGCGT